CCAATCCTGACGTCCTTTGTCAATCTTACATTGAGCATATTCTTCACATTATTCAACAATGGTTTGTGTAATGTAAAGTATATTCTCTCATTTCTGTGTTCTCTCATGGAACATGGAGAGTAATGAAAAAAGTTGTAAACTGACATCATGCACTGAGTATTTGACCAGTGGCTCCTCTGAGGCTCTGTATTATTTTGGGCTATTTTGCATGAGAAAGTCACACTTTCCGGGACTGAGCCACAACAATCCTGGGAACTTTATGAATTGTATTACTCACACAATTGTGAAGAAAATTTTAGAAGGCATTATGAAGAGAAATTAAGTTGAAGTTGCTCCACCGTTCCAATTAAGAGCCAGAAAAAACTATTACCTAATAGCGTTCTGTTTCCCGAAGGCTTTTCCCTCTGTATTCATTTTGTGGCAAGATTCATTAATTACTTTTGAATAACTCACAACTTTTAAGGTTACAATGGCCTAGCAGTTAGCACTTGTGCTTCACAGCAAAACCCAGCCCTGGGTTCAATCCCAGAGTATAATGCATGGAGGAAAATGCATGTATTTTTTGGCATTTCTTGGACTCAAGACCAGCTTTTTCAAACATGTTTATTACCACCTTACCTCAATTGCTCTTACTTTGGTGAAAACCTTCTAGGTCAGTAGTACCCTTCTGCCCTTTATCTTTTTTACAGAACTTACAATCTGCAGACAAAGGAAGTCCTTGGCTGGCCCCCTGACGCTGGCCGCTTCCCTGGAGAAATACTTTTTATGCTAATCAGGCCTTCAAACAAAATGACCAGGATTCACATCCTGAGTATATGTTTTCCAACTATAGGTCAGCGTGTGGCTGTTATCTGTGAAAGGGATCAAAACTCTATCTTTTCAAACAGTCAACAAAAGTTCAACTCTGTACACTACTCACATTGTATCAAGTAAGTGTGACCTTCAAAGAACCTGCAGTTCCCATACTTCCACTGAAGGCACAATAGATGAAAGATTGTTGACTTGTGTATCTGTCCAATCTGGGGAGTTTGGACTAATATGGTCTAATATGTATGACTCCTGCTGCAAGGAAATCCATAAACAATAGTATACTGTAATCATAATAGCTGCAATATTGAATCATATCACTCACATTTTTAAATTGTAAAGTTTAGAGTTACTCTTTAGAGTTGTGTCATCCCCCTCATAACGGACTCATTTATCCCCATCTTTTTAATGCACTACACAGAATAGCTCAGCTCAATAGCCAACATTTGTTCAGTTGTTAGGACAGCTGGGTGAGAGTTTATTGGAGGGGAGCAACCAGCCTCACCAATGGACCAACTTCACACCCTGGCTTTTTTAATGCACCTCACTATGTAGGGGAAACACCATACATCATCAATAATATCAATAATAACATCAAACAATAGCCAATTTTAAAATATAATATGTTTCGTGTGCCTCCATTAAGTTCCAACATTATATGATGTTGGAACTTGTAATAATCTGGAAAAAATCGATTGTAATATGTTTGTATAATATGTGTGTGGGTGTATATGCATGACTGTGCGGGTATCAATCAATCAATCAATCAAATTTTATTTATAAAGCGCTTTTCATACAAAAAGTGTAACACAAAGTGCTTTACAGTTTAGTTAAAAACAATCCAACATGCCCAGCCCTAAACCCTCCTCCCCACAGACCCCCCAAAATCACATTTATAATTATATATACAAATACACACACCCACCACACACACACACACACACACACACACACACACACACACACACACACACACACACACACACACACACACACACACACACATACACAAGTATAAAGTCATATCAGGTAAAATAGGTAAAACAATAAAAAGAAATGGGGCTGGGAGCAGATGTAACCGGCTGAAGAAGCGTCATCCAAGGAGCCATCTGCACCAGGAGCAGAGAGCCGGCTGCAGCCACAGGCAACGACACAGGACCCAGAGGAGAGAGGGGCCCCAGACCCCACCAGGCCCAGGACTCAGACCCCATAGGACCCAGAGGAGAGAGGAGGCCCCAGACCCCCACCGGATCCAAGAGCCAGTCCCCCGAAGCCACAGCAGACCCCAGCTCTCAGTGCAGAGGGCTCCTCCAGAGGAAACACTGGGGACACTAAAACAATACAATAATACAATAGAAAGTAGAACAATAGAATGTGAAAATAAAAAGAAAAATGGCAGCTGCCTAATATAATAACAATAGTAAATGGGTAGATACAATAAATAATTAAAAATAGTAAATAATAAAAATAAATAAAAATATAATCCGTCTAAAAACATAAATAGATGTACTAAAAAGCAATAATAGATAATAAATACTAATCAAAAGCTGCTCTAAAAAGGTGCGTCTTGAGCCTACTCTTAAAAATATGAACGTTCTCTGCGGCCCTGAGCTACCCTGCTGCCCTGAGTATGTACAGTATGTGGGTGTACATGTGTATGTGTATATATATATATTTGTATATATATGTGTATGCATGTGTATGCATGTGTATATATATATATATTGTATATATATATGTGTGTGTGTGTGTATGTGTATGTATGTGTGTATGTATGTGTATATATGTCTATATAGATGTGTATATATGTGTGTATGTGTATGTATGTATATGTATGTATGTATGGGTGGGTATACATGTATATATCTATTTTATAAATAGGTTGACAGTTATCTATTATTATTAATAATAATTATGTGTGTATATGTATGCATCTTAATTCTCTAAGAGGCTAATGATTTGATATAGTTGAATCTCCTTTCTGTTGTTATTGTTACTGTTGTCCTGCTGTTATTGTGACTCGTTAATTGATTAGTTTATTGATGTACTTATATCATTATTTTATCTTTATTATTATTACCATTATTATTATTATTATTATTACTGTTGTTGGTGTTATTATTATTATTATTATTTATTTTTTATTATTTATTTATTCTGTAGTCCGTTGGTAAATGGTCTTACTGTATACCGTCTATCACTGTATTACATCTTATATATCTGTCACTCTTACCCCCCATTTAGGTTAATAACCCCGCCGCGCGCGCACACACCCACACCCACACCCACACACACACAGCCACACCCACACACCCACACACACACCCACACACACACAGGTATAGTTATATATTTCTTTAAGTCCTCTCTATAACTAATATTAACATTCTTTGTATTGCTTGCTTATTGACTGTCCCTATGTATATGTTCACCTGGTGTGTAAATAAATAATAATAAAAAAAAAACAAAAAAAAAATAGAGTTGTGTCATCCATCACGGTGTTCCCTGTGGTGAGCCTCATTAGTTATGCTTCTGTTGTGGCTTATGTGATAATTAGGGGATCCCTGCAGCCTCAGTGTGATGCACCTGGACATGTAAGTTTGGACTTTTTGTGCCCCGAACAGAGAACGGCCAGAGCTACAAAAACATCTACTTGTCTTTGTCTAATAATGAATTAAGATTGCAGGTGGCTGAATCTTATTGTAGCTTCAATCAGCACAATATTGATTACAATGTACTCATATGTTCTTAAATGTGTGATTAGACCTGATTTCAACAGATTTTTGTACTGCACAAAATCACAGCATAAGTTGTCTTGGAGGACATCACACAAATTTTCCATTGACCAACAACAGATCGTCCATACCACATTAACGGGCGGCACGGTGGCTGAGTGGATAGCACTCTCGCCTCTCAGCAAGAAGGTCCTGGGTTCGAATCCCGGTCGGACCAGGGCCTTTCTGAGTGGAGTTTGCATGTTCTCCCTGTGTCTGTGTAGGTTTCCTCCGGGTACTCCGGTTTCCCCGACCACTAAAAATATGTCTAATAGGTCTGGCATGCGCCTCCTGTACTGGCGACCCCGCTCCCATCTCTGTGTGGAGTGAGAGGACAATTGCCCAAAATTAACAATTGTAAACCGCTTTGAGACTCAGATCTGCAGTGAAAAGGCGGTATATAAATAAAGATTACTTACTACTACTACTTAACCAATGTCCATAATTATCCCGGATCATCAATTTAATTTATGTTTTGTATTGCCTTAAATCACCACAGCAGTTGTCTCTGAGTCTGAGGACTTTACAAAGTCAATTCACCAACATCAGATCAGAGAATCAAACAGTGTTTGTTACACAAAGGAGGGAGCCGATGAACAATGTGCATAAATGTTCTTAAATGTTCCGGATCATCAACTGTCCATGGACAGACTGCATTTCTTCACTGTCAAAAACGATACAGTAGCTCCTTGTATTAGATTTGTACTGAAACAAAAAATAACATTCATAAATTTGCTTAACTGGGAGTCATAATACTTGAATTTTTTTACTTAATACTTGCAATAACATTTTAATCCAATCTGTCATCTATGATGGGGCTGCGGCCATGGCTTTGTATTTAAATTGAGTGTTAACTTTTTCTACAAAACATCCTTGAATGCAAAAAAAAAACTAGTTTCTGTAGGAAAGAACATTATAATATTGATTGCAACATGAATGAGTCTCCTCCACTGCAATGCAAGGCTACAGTCTCATAAAGTCACCATAAAAGAATCAACGAACAATCAAGGAAATGAACACATAATTTAGGCTTTTTATAATAAAATAACTGTTGTCAAAGTGATAGCTAACAGTTATAGTACCTTTAAATTGGTACCACAAGGTTATTTTGATACTAGTTTTAGTAAAACATTTCCGATTTTCAATATTTTGTATTATACTTTGTTTCTTTATTAAGCTGAGGATACATCTTTTATTGTATTTCAAGTTGTGCTATACTTACAATTAACTTGTTTGTGTGCTCCTCATTCCGATTGCTCTGTAACTTGTGATGCAACACTGAAATTTCCCCACTGTGGGACAAATAAAGGGTCTCTCAATCTTAATCTTTTGGCAATCCTAATAATGTGATTAACAATTTTTTTTTTTTTAATGCTTGCAATTAAAGTTTCACTGCATCCTTTTTTGGGTTTTTTTCAGTCGCGCCATCAAGACCAACCAAGACCTCCTTCCGGAAACTCCCTGGACCAACATACTTTACAATGACTTCTGGGGCACCCTGCTCACCCACAGTGGCAGTCACAAGTCCTTCCGGCCACTGTGCACCCTGTCGTTCCGGTTCAACTACTCCCTTCACGGCCTGCGTCCCTGGGGATACCACCTGCTGAACGTCTTGCTGCACGCCCTGGTCACTGGCCTCTTCACCGTCATCAGCCGCACCCTTCTCGGTTCCTGGTGTCTTTTGGCCGGGCTCCTGTTCGCCTCTCACCCCATCCACACCGAGGCTGTCGCAGGTGTGGTGGGGCGGGCTGACGTCGGGGCTGCCTTGTTTTTCCTGATGTCGCTCCTCTGCTACATGAAGCACTGCAGGCTGAGGGGCGGACCACGCACGGGCCATGGCAGGAGTTCGGTGACCCGCTGCTGGGCATGGTTCCTGGGGAGCCTCTGGTGCGCGCTGGGAAGTATGCTGTGGAAGGAGCAGGGCGTCACGGTGCTGGCTGTGTCCGCTGTCTACGACCTGTTTGTGTTTCAACAGCTGCGCTTTCGACAAGTGCTGCAATACTTGCTGGGAAAGGTAAAACATGATTAAATGATAGTTAAAGCTATACACCTCTATGGATGTGTTTGTTCTGCTGTTGGTTCACTTGGGGCAAATAGAATTTGTTTGTAGATGTAGAACCCCCAACAAGTGGCCACTAGTCGGTCACTTAAGTCAGTTTACATCTGTTTAAACAGATCTGTGAAGCATATTTCCCCCATGTGAACTGCCTTATTTCTCTATGGTTCTAATTGCCTCTATACTAACACCAATTTCAAACTAATTTCTCAAACTTCCTCTAACTGTATTTATTTGACTATAATCCTAATCTTCAACCTAAAGTAACAACATAATCAAATTGAACCGTGGCTTGAGGTTTTAGGTTTAGGACCTTGAAGTGCTTAGTAACGCCTTTGGTTTTCATATGAGGGACGGAATTCCTCTTCCTTCCCTCAGAGGTAGAAACAAACGTTTCATGCTGTTAAATGTTACCCAGTGGTAGTATCTGTGATGAAAAGGCACATGCAACACATTGTTTGCTCTTTTTTGCAAATATAATTTGCAATTCTGCATCAAGACAAGCATAAACTCCCCAAACCATGACTGGTCCAATTTTTTCTGAAAACAGGGAAGGAAGTTTTCCTTTAGCTCACTGAAGCACCATCATGATCTCCTGTTTGCCATAGTAAGGATGTTACTCTGTCAAGAAAGCCTGGGTCATACCCCACTGTATCCCAGTGTCGGGGCCCCTTGCGTTAAAGCTTGTAGCTGACGGAGAGCCTCTCCCCCCTCTCGGGGTGCACATGTTTTTTAAAAGACCGACTTGGTCAACAGACTTGAAGGATGATGCTCGGGGGCAACAAGGGCTGTGATTACTTTAGGAAGGAGCAGTGGGTCGGGGGAGGGGAGACAGGGAGGCATTGGGGGACCTTGAGGAACATCTTCCAAAAAGTGTTTTTGTCATCTCCCCTTTCGTCACACCTCCCTACAACCGTATTACCACCATTGTGTATGAAGTGTCTTTAGGTGTCATGAAAAGCACTTTTGTCCCTCAAGCACACCAGTGTTCGAAGGACAAATGATCTCTTGGAAGCATAACTGGCAAATGAGGTACTTGGTGTTATGATAATATAAGATAAACTTTATTGATCTCACAATGGAGACATTTACATGTCACATTTGTCATGAACTGTATCACTCAGGACGGCCAGTCTTGGGAGCCCTCCTGGTCAGGTGGATATATTGTAATTGTGTCGCTGAGACCACCAATGGCCTGAACTCATGAGTTACTCTGTGGTCCCACTTCTGCAGGACCAGTGCTGAGGCTCGAGAGCGGGACCTGCGCGAGCAGAGTTTGTTCCACTTAAGTGTGGATTTATTCAACACAAATGGATAAACTTTTTTAACAAAACTGAATATTTGTGTTGCTCCATTATTCTCCACTTCTCAACAGTGCAGAGATTTAAGGAAAACTCATTTTGAGAAAATGCAGTCTGACTGCAGACTCCTTCACTGATTAGGAATTATTATGAGCATGTGTTACATGTTTTGTATGAAAACAGCTTTATTAATGAGGCCTTATTCAAATATAACACAATATGACAAAATATGAGAAATACTCTATTGGTTTTCTATATTGTCATTTATATTTCAGGCTTTATAATAAAACAATATCTCTCTAAACTACTACTACTACTACTCATCCCTAGTGAATGAAATACATGCAGTCATAGTCATGCACCCATTCCTGTCATTAAATACATTACAGCACATGCAAATTTTTCCTGATCGTTGGTATTTAGTGCCAAAGTAATAGCACTTGTTAAATGCATGATGAGGATAATAAAAAGTCCCCTTGGGTTTATGTGCAAGGACAGTTGGCTCTGAACACAAGGAGCCGTTTATAGCGCTGCTGTCATGGAGCCGCCTGTAAACATCTGTCCCTGCTATTACCGTCTTACAGATGAATGCTTTTGTCATCACTAAAGGGCATCTTCCTTTGTGGTCATCTCCGACAAAACAACAACCCACAACTCTTGATACAAGCTCTTAGGTATGGATTTATTTAAATGCAATTAATCAGTGTAATTAAACAAATAAATGTAATAAAATACAATTTTAAGTAAAGTTTTCATTTCAGCAAGAGATGACGGATCAGACTGCTAAAATCAATACCAATTCATTTCTGATATGATGTTCAGAGATCCTTTATTTTTTGTAGATAAGCAGATTTCCATGTTTTCTTTCTGAAACAAAATCAAAAGCAAAGGCTGAAGTACATGCCCTCAATCATAGAGACCGTGGTGTATTATCTGTGCCAATGTTCCAACATATTGCGTTGCTGCCTAAAAGATTTAATCACCCAGAAAACATGTCAAGAAGTGTGATGAAAAACCTCTTTCCCTGTTCATCCATCATAGAGCGATGCTACCTTCGCCCTGTGCCCAGAGCCAGACACAACAGCCTGGGAGGGAGTCTCAGCAGGTCTGGTGCCGCCCACAGCTGCTGCACATCTGGATCATTTATCACTATGGAAATGCCCTCCACTGTTGCCCTGACCACGGTTATCAGCTCATTCTGTGCCACGCTAAAGCTACAGGGTAATGGTTTCCTTGATTAGGAGCCAGACTTCTTGTGGCGTATGGGAACACAACACAAGAAAAAAAAAGCAAATGGCAAGGGAAACTATGCTCTCACTTCCTTTCCTTTATCTGCTATTTGCCTGTCCAAAGCTGTGACAAAAATCAAACAATCGAAAAATCTCAATCCAAAGTTTTGTAGATCGCAAAAGTCAGAGTCTTACCTTGTTACAGTTTGGCAAAAGAATGTTTTTATCATATTGTTATATATTGTTTCTCACTTTACATTTTCACCACAAGCATCGACATGGCTTAATATACACATTCAAAGTTAGGGCACTTTCTTATGCACTCAGCCTTCAACATCATTCCTCTCAACCCCCACCTCCTTTAGACTATGGAAATGACCCGTTGTGAGGTCCAGAGGGAGTTTGGGCCAGATCTGAATTTCTCACTAGACTCCACACTCCATTTCTCATCCTATTAACTGTGTAATCATATTCAGATGAGGTTTTAAGTGATACAAGGCAGCACCGCAGAACAGATGAAGATAAAGAAAGGGGCTATACAGCTGAGAACGCCAAAGCAAAATGACTGCGCTGTGACATCATGACGAGGACGGAATGTCTCTTTCATATTGACAGATGTAGAATGGAAAGAAGGGCTGTTCATTAAAGATGGCAACACAAAAGATCAGGGTCATATCCAATAGCATCACAGATTTAATATGTACTCTGGGTAAACAAAAATATTCAACAATGAACATAGTATGGACCATAATAATCATACAGTATTATAATTTTTAAACAATAGCTTTATGTATATTGCTTTACATAGTTTCTATGGTTGTCAAACTGATCTGTAAAAAAAAAAGTAAGCAAATATAACCAACTTGCATTGGTTTGAATGCTGTGCTTTATTCTTGTAATTGCTCAACAAAAGTGAATTCACTAGCTTTATTAATTTAACAATTAGTCAAACAAAAATTTCACAGTATTTTTTTATTTAATAGTAATTTTAAAAAGTCTAAAAAGTGCTCAACTTGATCATGGTTGTAATTGTATCTGTGACCTGCTACAGCTGACTAGAAAATACTTACACTGTTGCAAGATATCTTAGATACTAGTAAAGAATGCGGTGGAAAAGAGTCCTATAAACAATATAAAATGTTCATACCTGATCATTGTTCGTCAGGCCCTGGTTTGTGCACTACTTCTGCTCGACCACTGGGAATAGTAACTTTGGAGTCGATGAATAATTCAATATGAAGCAGAATTAATTGTGCAAAAATATACATCCAATGAATGTATTATGTTAATCCATACGTCACTTACATGGTTTTGTTTGAATTCTTGGTTGTATTGTTTAATCTTTCACTGATTTAAACTGAAAAACTTCCAATTACATATTTAAGTTAGGCTACTTTAAACAGAAAATAAATAAATGCCTTTCACTTTTACAAAATGACTTCATAGTCTTCTTCCAAAAACATAATTTCATAAAGTGGATGTTTTTGCCTCCCTAGAAGGTTACTGTGCCAGTGCTGTGCATGATTGATTGGGAAAGCAATTAGGAAACCATTTTGACATTCAGCAGAGAGACTGACATAATGACTTTCTGGAGTTAGCCAATGTTGTGGTGCTGGGCAGAATTGGATTGCCTCTCTGAAGAAATATGCATCCTTTTATACATACAACAGTTTGTTTAAAGATCATTCTTACAGCCTGTTTAATTTAAGATCCATGTTGGAATGTAAAATAAAATTAAAACAACCAGTTTGATAGCAGTCCATCTTTGAAAATATATATGTTTTGTACATAAGAATGGCAGGTAAGATTATTTTTCTTCTTTCTCCTCCTTTTCAATTTTTTGACAGGACTACAAATATTTTTACAATGTTGTGTGCAAAAAGAAAACATATAAATTAGAAAAAAATAATCACTTTTTGGCCCCATATGGACTAATTTAAATTTATTTTTCGAACTATGAAAATAAAAACCCAAATTAATTGATTTGACAAAAACAATGGGCCTCATTCACGAACGGTTCTTAGGAACAGATTTGTACGTAAATCCTACTTACGCGGTTTTTACGAAGAAAGTAGCATTCACGAATATTTCTCGTAACCAGAATTTCTCTTGGGCAAGTACAAATCCTACGAGTCCTCAGGAGCACTCGTACGCATTCAGTGCCGACATGTTCACACGCCGGGGTTGTCCTCTTTGGTGAAGTTGAATAAAAATACAACATTCCAGTGATATGTCCGTCATATCGATGTATGTATTTATTTATTTGTAGTAATCTTTATTAGTAATCTTTATTTATATACCGCCTTTTTCACTGCAGATCTGGCTTACTTTTTAATTCATTTTGAAATGAAATGTGCCAACGCTTTATCAAATACATTGGAAATCTTGCCGTGTATTAGTGACCCCTTCCTATTTATAGGGGGCATTTCTTTATCCACGGGCCACAGAACAACGGCATATATACTGCTGCTGCAGGAGGTTACTGGGTCCGCGCTGAGTCTCTGCGCTGGTCTCTCCTATGGATCTATACGGGTCTGCACTGGTCTCTCTCCATACGGGTCCGTGCTGCATGCTCCTGGATCCATACGGGTCCGCGCTGGTCTCTCAAGTCTGGTCTATGCGGTCTATCTTCGGTCCGCGCTGGTCTCTGCGCACCGGTCTCTCCAGTCAGGTCACTCCAGTCTATGCGATCTCTCCTATAGGTCCGCGCTGGTTTCTGTGTGCTGGTCACTCCAGTCTCTCCTCGGGTCTGCATTGGTCTCAGCGCTGGTCCGCGCTGGATCTCCTCCCAGGGTCCAAAATATTTTGAGATTAATCTCAAAACATTTTGAGATTCATCTTTATAATAATACATAATATATTTTTAAATTAAACTCATAACATTTTGAGATTAATCTCATCATATTCTTAGATTAATCTCATAATTTTGCTAGTTCGACTTTATTATCATAATATTTCGACTTTTAAGTCAACATTTTATAACTTTATTCTCAGTCTGGTAAAAGAAGAAAAAAAGCCTGCTTTAGGCCTGTTGCTGTTTCCTCTGCCGTCTGCACACGGCCCTGCAGTCCCTTATATGGGCATTAGTGGGCGGTTACTTATGCTAAGTACCTATGCTAATGAAGCACCTGGCACGCGCGCTGTACTTACGAGGAAATGGGATTCATCAATCTGAGAGAACAGCTGCGAACAATTCAGCGGCTTACGAGTGCGTTGATGAATCCCACGTGGGGACTTCTTAGAAATCTACTTAAGGACAACTTGAGAAGAAAGTTGAGTAGTTTCTTACGAAGTTATTCGTGAATGAGGCCCAATGTATTTATTGCCAAATGTTATTAACTGTGATGAACACAAGCAATAAGCAGAACCTCCACCAGGAAAGTTGCATCATGCACCCATAAAACTACCTCATGTACCTAATGGTCAAACATAAACACAGTTGGTTTGCATATTTAACAACTTTTTCTCAAAACCTGTCTATCACTAATGTTCCCATGCATGTATTGTCCTCTTTCGCATCTTTGGATCAGCTTTTTCAAACTGAAAAGCGAAAAAGAAAGGACCTTCAGAGTGCTAACTTTCTTCTTTCAATATTCTCACAATATTTTACTTTGACAAGACTGTTGGAACAGACTAGCTTGAAATATTTATGAGAGGAAAACAACAAAGTATCACATCTTTTAAAGTTGTGGTTGTTGGATGCAATATGTAGTTTTACTCTGGAACTTTTAAAACAGAAAATATAACAAGGATTCTTACACTTTACTTTGTTCTTATTGTTTCCCAGAAAATGAATACGGCAGAGTTTGTGAGTCTGATTGCACTGGTGCTGTGGGGGATACTGCTGCTTTCGTCGCGTCTTTACTGGATGGGAAACCAACCACCAAACTTCTCAAACTCAGATAACCCAGCAGCGGACTCAGCCCACCCCCTCACCCGGACCCTCACCTTCCTCTACCTACCTGCCGCAAACGCCTGGCTCCTGCTCTGCCCCGACAAGCTCAGTTTCGATTGGTCCATGGACGCCGTGCCTTTGGTCAAGTCCTTTGCTGATTGGAGGAACCTTCACGCTGTTGCCTTCTACAGTTTTCTCATCGCCCTTGCTTTGGCTGGACTCCGTGGCCAGAAACGCGACGCTAAAGAGAGCAATGGAAAAGCGCATGTTTCTAACGGGAAGTCAAACGGTTATCAAGCTTCTGACACAAACCATAACATCAACTCGGGAGAAGGGCCCCCAAACGGAATCGTGAATGGCTCATCCCGGCTTCCCCATTACCCGCAGAGGACTTCTCTCCCCAGCACCGAAAACGTTGTTGTGTTTTCATTAGGCATCATTTCTTTATCATTCCTGCCAGCAACCAACCTCTTTTTCTATGTGGGATTTGTCATAGCAGAGAGGGTGCTGTACATTCCCAGTATAGGGTTCTGTCTACTGGTTGCAACCGGAACAAGAAGCTTATACATCAAACTGAGGAGGACTAAAGGCAACAACAAGGTCTTGGTCTTTTGTCTGTGCTCAGTGCTTTTGCTGCTGAATGGACTAAAAACTGTGCAGAGAAACAGAGATTGGAGCAGCGAGGAGAGGCTCTACATGTCTGGGATCAGTGTTAATCCCGCAAAAGGTAGGATAGAGACAGGTCAAACTCTGAAAGTCAGAATATCGTGCAAAACAATTTACTGTGATTCATTGTACAATGTGTATACACAATATGAAATATGTATTATCAAGTTGATCATTATTCCTCACAGCTTTATAGAAATGTAAGCCATAATCATCAAGTTTAGTTTGTATGATACAAATAAATACTTATTATTATTATTTTAAATTTTTGTATGATATTAACACCTGTATACCTGATATAAAAAACATCCTCTTGGCTTTTTAGAATAGTCACTACTTCAAATAATCATTAATTGTCATTTATTGAGTCAACTAATCACTCAATAAATGACAACCTGGAACAATACATTTTGAGATCAACATTTCCATAGTCGAACATTTTATCCCATTTTTTTAACAACTCATGATGTCACTTTGCTTCTTATTTTCCTACTGATGATAATTACAATTTCAAAAGTGGTTTACTTTATTGTACATCTATATTGTATATCTGTCAATGGTATAAAGCTTATTCAATATTGTCTTTTTCGCAATATATTCCTCAAGTGATATCAGTCGATGTGTTATTATATGCAGTTGTAAATGCATATCAACTAGTATGCTTCGTATTTGTTATTGACATGTCTCTACTCTAGCCTGGGGAAACCTTGGAAATGTGCTGAAGAACCAGGGGAAGATTGTGGAGGCGGAGAGAGCGTACAGAAACGCTCTTCACTACAGAGGAAACATGGCTGACATGCTGTACAACCTGTGAGTGCTAACGACACTGCTGCTCTGCACTAACCCTTCGGCTCTTTATCATGCACTTGTTGAGTTTTGAAATATGTTGGATTTCACTGGTTTTACAAGAAACAAGCGTGAAGTATGACACTGTAAATTTGTAAGGCAATGTTTTCTTAACAAATAAAAGAAAGATAATATCAATATCATCATCTTTATTTATATAGCGCCTTTCACATACCAGAGTCACAAAGCACTTTACAATTGTCTCAGTATAGTTTGTGAACAAAATCATAGCATTTGGAAATATACATATATATTGTACTCAATACAACATACTAAAATAAATGACAGATATGTTATATAAATAAATATTTAACTGTATGTTAAATCGATAAAATACAGATATATATTTTAAATATATCTAATTAACATGGAAATGGAAGAAAATGCTTTTAATGTTGGTTTGAATCCAACATTACTCCAATGTATTTGTTTAAATGTTTATTTTTTTTACCAGGGGTTTGCTGCTGCAGGAAAGTGGTCGTTTCATTGAGGCCCTACATTACTACAAACTCTCAATTGCCAGTCGACCCACACTAGCTTGTAAGTAACACAAATATTGCTTCACATAAACATGTAATGTATAGAAACCATGACTGTCATTTATAGCTGCCTATCTGAACACGGGCATCATCCTGATGAACCAGGGGAAGCAAGAAGAAGCCAAACACACTTTTGTTACATGTGCTGGAATCCCTGATGAGAACTTAAAGGACCCTCACGCTCACAAGAGCTCTGTCACCAGCTGCCTGTACAACCTGGGCAAACTTCTGCACGAACAGGGGCTACAACAGGTCTTACAACGAATATTATTTAAAACATGAAGATTGACTGTGATTTTTATTATTTTTCACACTATTTTCAGGAGGCTCTCTCTGTTTACAAAGAGGCTGTGCAAAAAATGCCCAAACAGTTTGCCCCACACAGCCTTTATAACATGATGGGTAAGTGAACATCTGAAACCACATGTTTTTGTGCGGTATATTACTTTGTCAGATAAAGAAATGTTAAACCATTGTACAATTTAAATCACTCACTCACATTATTTTATCCTTGTGGAAAATGTATAATTTGTGGTTTGTATCTTCTTGCAGGGGAAGCATACATGAGGCTGAACAGACTGGAGGAAGCAGGTCATTGGTACAAAGAGTCGCTTCGAGCCAAACCAGACCATATCCCAGCCCACCTCACTTATGGAAAACTTCTTTCTATCACTGTAAGTGCTCCAAGGCAAATCCAGATGAATATGAAATCTGTATTTATGAATAGGGTTTGACCTGGATACTAATTGAATAAGAGACCTGTAGAGACTTCCACCAAGTATCCTGGATCACCTCCAACATCTAATCATTTATACCTTATCCCATCTGTGTTTTACCAACTGTTACTATGTTTTATTCTTGATTTTAAGGAAGTTCACTGACATTGACATTATTTGTAGTTTGTCACTGAAATAGTGACTTTAGTACTGACTCCATGTGTGTTTGTCTACTTTATTGTGTAAAGTAATCTTGGACTGTGCAAACTGAAAAGGATTCAAATTAGACAAGCAAATCAGGTATATTTGTAATTCTTTTTTTATTTTTTTTTTAATCTCAAATCAAACTACGATATGAACACTATTTGTGTTACGAAAAGTCGATGTGAGTTAGCTTGATATCAGAATTACATTGATTTTTCCATGTGCCTAAAGTACTTTTGCAGTGAATGTAATGGAGTCTGACTTTTGGATTTGAGTTACGTACGTGTTGGGGATGGACATCTGCTGCTCTGCCTCAGGCCCTGCACTGCACTTCATGCACTTGTGAGCCTCTTTGCTCCGAGGGCTTAAGGGACAGGAGATTGGATAGGCCATGGACAATGGGCCTGTGGACAAGCTTATAATGAAATTACATTGCTTCCTTATTGAATCACCCAATCTGCTATATTTCGACCATGCAAATGGACTTAGAGTAACTGATAATACGGACAGGGTCAAGCGAATGTCTTGCCCCCCTGTTGACCTAAACAAAAGTACAGCAGTCAGGCAAGCATCATGCGCCTTCATGATAGAATATGTGTCAAATTAAACTTAATCAAATACATATTTGTGATAAAGTAAAATGCCTTTAGTCTATAGTACATTAGATTTCATAACATTCAGTAACTTTGTCTTTCAGGGACAGAAGGCAGAAGCAGAGAAGTATTACCTGAGAGCTATTCAACTCGATTCAACTAGAGGAAACTGCTACATGCACTATGGTAAGACCCGATCAGATCATTGGATATACAATGTTTGAACATTAGATTAGGTTCTCTTAATAAATAAATACTTTCAAAATAATGTACTTTTTCTACAGAAATTCCTAAAGATTAGAAACTGACATGCAGTACTTCAAATCATAGTCTGGAGTTTGTAGAGAGGTAAATGATTTGAAAAAAACCGACTCAAGCTCCCTCGCCATTTCTTTCTGATTGGTCTTGAAGCAGCGCCTACTTTTCCGTGCACGAGCCAGGTTAATTGTCCAAGATGTAAATTTGTAATCATATTTTTAATTTCAAAACGTTCAACCAATCATTATTTCTTGATAACGGACCTCTCAAACCAAAATGACCCATGCCCTTTGGCAACGCACTCTATGCTTGCACTTCAGGTGTGTAAAATACTAAGATTACTCTGGATAGTACTTTGTACACTTATTACTTCTGTCTGTGTGAGAGAAGCTATCGAAGCTAGCCACGCTCAATAACACAAATATCAATCAATCAACACATTTAAATGTTAATCGGAGAATACATTACACACATACATTCTTAACACACGTGCACAGAGGTTTTAAGAATTATTTGTTTACGTTTTGATGACAAAAATACTGTTTTAATGCGTCAAAAGCGCGGTAAACCCCGGGGGTAACTATTAACATTAGTAGAACATTTTAGGACACATTTGCAGAGGATCTGATTATGGCTTCTAGTTAGTTAGCTAGCCTAGCTGTTACCTGTCTAGTCACGTCACGACAAAACCTTTTGGAACTAACCATTTTATATTTATCATTTTAAAAAGATAGTGCCCATTACAGCTTTGAATATTAAGGGCAGTTTAATAATCGTTCGAATATATGTATATATATTTAATATTCAAATTATATACGAGCACGAGGATTGACAGCCCTTGGCATCAATTGATTGGTTTAAGTGGACAGCATCGTGGATTTCTAGCTATAGCTAAGATTAGGGAAGGCGGGACTTACGTACTTAGGTAATATTATAATTCATAAACTGACTTTTATATCAACATTTAAGTTCAGGAGGTCAATTTCATATTCTTAAAATTTGTAATTCATTTAGAGTTCCAGACTATCACTTTAAGACAATAATGATGTTACTCTTGATTCAAAAGTCAGTCTGAGGCCTGGAGTTATTAGTAATGTTAGCATAATGGTTTCCACACATCCCAGTAGCCTGAACTAGCGTGCTAGATTACAAAAAAGTGCACAATATGTAAAATAAAGAAACTGCACAGTTATGTAGCTCCCAAGTGTAAATAAAAGACACTTGGGAGCTACATAGCTGTAATGTTTTCATAATTCCATTGTCCTGATGTGACTGCTAACAACGCATTTGTATCAGTCTGTACTCTGACCTCATGCTACTATCAGCAGGATATTTCAAGTACATGATATCTATCCACTCCTGCTTAAAAGCAGGATTTTGAACCCACTCCACGTACACGCTCCACTTTACATGCTCCTCTTGGTATCATTGAAATGCTGTCTTTGGATGTGGCTCCTTCCCTCTCTATGTCTGCGTCCTGTCTGTGAAGTACGACTGTGTTATCTCCATGGCTTTGGGGCAGGTGGTGTTTATATAATCTTCTTGAGGACTTTATCATGTGCGTTCTGGATATACAGCCAGTGAAACAGTGAACATTGTTAATCTACAGTCAGTTCCATAAATATTGTGACTTCCACATAATTATCAGATGTTTTTTGACCTTTTAGAATAATATACTGACTGTATTTTGCCATCTAGATTATTAAAGAGTCTAACTAAAAGGTCAGTGGCGATGATCCAGGACACTCAACTCAACATTCAACAACATTTATGGTCATATATCTAATAATATCTTCTCAATACACTTTTCAATGTACTTTTATTGTATGGGTGTTTGATGAGCTGTGAAACCAGAGTATGCACTTATAATATTTCTTCTCAGGTCAGTTCTTGTTGGAGCAGTCCCGTCTTGCTGAAGCAGCAGAGATGGCAGAGAGAGCTGCACAACTCGACAACTCCGAGTTTGATGTGGTTTTCAGCGCAGCCCACATGCTCAGGTCTCGATTACACTCCACATCTCCAAAATGAACAGACTTTCCACATAATTTTAAAAGCACTGCTGTGAGTTTGCATGTGGACACTTGGAGACGGTCCTTCATACGCTTTCCAAGTCATGCGTCATAGAAACGTGTCCCACAGGATAGCATTTACCCTCTAATCCCAGCAAACCAAGGCACCAAGAAAAGTGCTTTGAGCTTTGTATCTGTAAAGGTTATTGGTTTGCTGCTGTTTAGTGTGTATCAGTAGAAGTTCATTGTGTTTTGTGTTTGGCAATCAGTGTACCTGAGAATAAGAATTTATCCTAAAAATTAATCACAGAGATGTCTAAACAAATGGATAAACTGAACTCTTTAGATTCTTTCAGTTTTTGAGGGAATTTGATGAGAAACAGACAAAAAGTGGATCCCTGAAACTGTATAAGAGAACATAAAAATATAAAAAATATGGAAGAAAAAAATAAAAAGATTGCTATGAGTAAGAAGAAGCTCATATCAATCTTTGGCCCAATTCTTTTGTGAGATTAGACAGGGTTGTTAGTTGTCAACTATGAACCTACACAAAAGTTACGGCTCTAAATGTGAAAATATCTTGACTACATTCACTTGTCTGAGAATATCTCATGGACAACACAAAAACTCAGGTTTTGGCAAAAGGTTTGGGAAAAGATTCCTTAAAAGGTTCCTACTGTGCTTTTGTAGCCATTGCACTTTACTTAACTAATCCAAACAAGACAACGGGAGGAGACTTCAATGACTCAAATGTTACACAGTACAGCATGTTTACAGTCTATGCTGCTTCATTATTTAACATTGATTATTGGGAAGAAAGTGAACAGACCACTTAACGGTAATTGATTGGGTAATAGCCTTTGTTGTTTTTACTCATAGTCTGTAGTAGTGGACTTACCAAGTGCTGACCTTGCCCATAGTGTTTGCCTTATCGCGAAATAAGACGCTTAGAGCTAAAATCAAACAGGCTGTATTATCGCTAATGTGGACCCAATTTCGGAGGTAGCAACAACCTAGCAACCAAAGAGCCAACCAAAGGAGCGGAGCTGATCTGTTTGCATTCATGCTACTCACTAGCCAAAGCTGAATTCGGGTACAGAAGACACCAGATGTGCGTGTTAATTAAACCCTAGGAGCGCAATTAGAGGTTAAAAGATCCTTTATTTGTCCCAAACTGGAGCTATTTCACTGTTACATCACATGTTTCGGAACAGTATAGAAATTAGGAGAAGAAAAACACAAAAAAGATAGTATTAAGTATAGAACCACTGATTGTTAAGCCTAAAGTGGTGAGTGTGACACAAATAGTTGAAGAGGTAGAAGTTTACTTTTAATTGTAAGTGATGAAAGGGAGCCAAATAACTTGAATAAATCAGAACGGGATAGATTAATATACGTTTTTTATTGAGCCATTTACCAAGGTGTCATTGCATCAATCCCAATTTTCCCCCATTCTCCCTGTTAACTTTATTTCTTCTTCGATTTAACTGTATATTCTTTCTTTTTCCTGCCACTTTGGAAATCTAATTGGTTTGTAAAAAAAATTACAACAACAAAAAACTTCTTTTAAGATGTGTGGCTTTATTTTGAGAATGTATTTCAACACGAGAAACTGGGAATTCAGCTGTCTAGCTGTTTTAAAAGAATAGTAAATAAAAACATATGTATAAAACCGTGATCATGGGGTGTCATCAAAAGCGGACAAAAGCATAATGCCATGTTTTGTGTGTACTTTTCAGACAGGCCAATCTGAATGAAGCTGCAGAACAGCAGTATGAGCACGCAGCCTGCCTCAGACCAGATGTAAGTAACGAGACATGTGCTAATGCAAACACATGCAACTGCTTTGACATGTAATTCTGTTTGACATAACATTTCATTACAATGGTTAAAGAATCCGTTCACTACCTGCTGTCCAAAGCACATCCTGATACAGTTTACCTGATACAGATCCTGACACATTACAGTATAGGAGTATGGTATTGTAGATCTATATGTTTCATATTTTACTGATAAATACATATTTTTCTCCATAATAACTGGGTTAATAATCTATGTGTAGTAAGAGTGGAACCAAGTCTTTGTGGCATTGGATGCCAATAATGTCCAGAACAGATTTATATGTTTGTATTATTTAAATGTATTCAAAGCAACTTTTATTATCTTGGGTGGAGAGTAGGATTTGTTAAACAAATAAAGCAGATGGGGGTGCCATTGTGCTGCAATTCATTAAAAGAAGAGTTGCATTAAAGCTGTGATACCAAACTTCTATCTACAAAAAAATGAAATATTTTTTTGTTTTTTTTGTTTGTTGATAAATTATGTTTATTCTTTCAGGACATGTCATTTTATAGGACACTCTTTGATGCAAAAATTGAAATATATATATATTTTTAGAATGACAAACGTTTAGGGGAACAGCTTTTCAATAAGAAGTAGTAATTATATGAAATAACTGTATTTTGTAACATTTGAATGTCTTTTCTCAGTATCCAGCTGCTCTTATGAACCTTGGTGCCATGCTTCACCTAAACGGAAAGCTTGCTGAGGCTGAGGCTAATTATTTGCGTGCCCTCCAACTCAAACCAGACGATGCAATCACTCAATCCAACCTCCGCAAACTGTGGAACGTGATGGACAAACAGGGACTGAGGACCATGCAGAATAACGCCATACTCAAGAGTTGACCCCGAGAGGACGCCTCTGTTGTCTGATTACTTGATAATATTGTCATTATTATTTCTATTTTTTTGCCACGTGCTGTTGTAAAGAACTAAATTATTTGAGTGAGTCTAAATAAGAAAAGTCTCATTCTGAAGTGAAAAGCAGATGTCAAAGCAAAGTCAAAGACGCCTCATTATCCCTTGTATATCCGAGGCCTTCTCCGCTGTGCCAAAACTAGTGTTGAGTCGACATGCCTCTGATTCACACAAGAACTATCCTCCATTCTTTTGTCACTCTTTATTTTATACATAATTTATTTGCTTTTCTAATGAATTATGCGATGTACCAACACTGTGCATTTTGTCTTTTGAAACCCTTAATTGTTTTGAGAGCATTATTCCTTTCCACATTGTTGCATATTTTTTGTACATTTTGGGCAAATGGGTTTATAATTATTGCTGGAACATTGGTTGTTATTTGTAGATGAAACTTGACTCTTTTAATAATAAAAATATATAAATGTTACAAATCAAATGTGTTTAACTTACTTTACAGTTTGCAATCAAAATTAGGTCACGGAATCTTCTCAAATAAAAATCTGAGATAGACACAAATGTCAAAAACAGTGCTCTCATTAATAGAACTGTGGTAATAGACCCAGATACAGTCATAGTCGCTCTACTTAATGTGCAAACGGTGACCTCTAGTGACAATTGCAGGCATGTACAGTTTCAGACGTATACTGTCAAAAAAAGATTTGAAGTGATCTGCACATGTATGGTTTTTTGTGTCATCAATACCGAATCGAATACTCAAAAATTACATATTTTGGGAACTATTATCTCATCCATACAGCGGTCGTGGGAGTGTTTCTGAACCACTTCATCAGGTTTGGTCCAATCAGAGTAGCACTCGTGTCAAAATCCTGACTTTGGATTTTAATATATACAGTCTATGCTTTGGATGGCCAAGTCTCCATGCATCTTCCGTACACGGACAGCGCATAAAGTATGTTCCTGGAATCTGTGAATTATTATTTGCAATTTATATTTCATTACAAGTGACCAAGTGTCCGCCAGGCTTGAAAAGGAATCGTGTCAATTAATGTCACAAAAAAATGTCGTGTATAGATGAGGTTTGTGGGTAGGAGGCCCCATTAAAGATGGTCGGTTATTGGCAGGGTGTTAATATTGCGTATAGGCTGTTTCCAATATAGATCTGTTCTTTCAGGTATCTATCAAAAAACCTAAAGTATGTACAATACTAGGGTATTCTTAATACAGTCAGAGCTGCACCCAGGTGGTGAGTCCACAGGAGCCTTGATCTTTCTGCGGGGGCTTCATGCAAAGTGGGGTGAAGTGTCTTGCCCAAGGACACAATGACAGCAGACTTCAGTGGGAGTCGTGAAGTAAGTCTTGAAGTGGGCTCGGACCCACAACCTTCAGCCTCAGAGGCCAATGCTCTACCAACTAAGCCACTGTCGCCCCATCATACAGTCAAGGTTGCCCACTATAAATGAGTCTACACAAGTGATAATCATATATTTATACATTGTATACACTACAAATCCTTTCACAGAAAGGGTTTAAAGTTATTTGAAGTAATTACAATCAACTCATTAATAAATACCGGATAGAAACAAGTCACAATTCAAGCACTAAGTGAAAAGCAGACACATGTTGCACAGATAGTTTGGAATGGCTGAAAGCCTATAGTGCTAGTGTTTTTAGATAGTTCTGTCTTAAGCCTGTGAGAGCTCGAGATTTTTGCAAAAATAAAATGAATCCATTGACAATGCTGACATTAATTAAAATTGTTACTGGAACAAAGCACTACATTGAGAATTGCGGGAGCACAAAGACTGCTTTTAGAATATAATCATCTTCTGGTCATGGGTTTCATATTCCTGTGATATGCAACATTATTAATGTTACATTAAAGAGGAGGATCATTTGTATTGTATTTGCATCCTTTGGTCAGCGTGTATTCACATACCTACACAAATGAGCAGAAGCTTTCAGGAGTTAGTAGAATTCAATGATATACTCTGGGTATATTTGATTACTGTCAAATATGACAAATATCTTTGGATTGGCCAGGTCATCCACACAGCTGTCATAGAAGTTGATGAAGCTTGCATCCTTAGAAGGGGGTCTGCAGTACATAGGACGTCCAATGGTAAATTCCCCGACGAGTACCCTTGCCAGAAACATAGTCTTGTAAGGAGGCTCGCTGGCAAATATTGGTGGAGTGAGTCCATGTCTCTGTAAGGTGGTATTGTGTTTGTTTGTGGTGTGGCAAAATTTGCTGGAGTATTTGGCATCTCTGGCAAAGTAACTTCCTATGAAGACAAACATGTGGGAAAGTTCAGGATAGACTTTTAGACATAGATATCATGCATTGGCAAAAAGGAAACCTACCTTTACCATAAACATCTCCATGACTTCCTGTTAGTCGCCAGTCAAAATTAAACGTGCATATTGCTTGTACATTACTGTGTCCTGTACCATGAAACAGCATTCGCTCCTCTATATCCAGAGTCCGTTTTATTTTACGCAACTGTGTCTTTTTTCTAGGAATGAAATGTATCACATAATAGTTATAGAGTAGTTCAAACCTGCCTGAATGTATGAAATTTACCTGCAGAAAAATTCCCATAAGTCAAGGTTTTGTATTCTTTGTACAGATTTGATAGGATGGTCCATGGTTCGGTCATAAAGGCGAGCTACTTCTTTAAATTCATATGTGTCTCGCCCGAGTTGAATGAGCTTATTAGAAATGACAAGATTCGATGAAAGGAAAAAGGTGCACATGTATGTTTGTATTATGTAAATACTACAAATTACAACAATTGATTCCAGCTCAAAAAAATAAAATAAAACTGTTTTAAAAATCTATATTGATAAATGTAGCTTTTAAACTATGGGGCTGTAGTGATTCTACTTTTTGCAAAATATTTGCTCTGATAAAAGATGTCGAATGCAAATAAAAGGACAAAGCTGTGTGAATTTTCTAAACCCGTGTTAAGAATCTTGTTCAACACTTAAAGTTCACAAATACAGTAGTGTTATAGAAGTGGTAGTTACAATGTAAAAGACTGAGTTAAGCCACCAACTTGCTCTTACACAATCACGATTTTTGCATGGACTCAGACGTCCATGGTTTATGTCAACACCAAAGTAAAGTTGTACGTATAATAAAATGCATAACTAATATCTCTACCTTACTTTACACAGAAATGCATGTGAAAGTTACCTGAAATGGCTCATCAGTGTTAATCCGTTCCCAGTGACAGGGAACAGGCAGCGCAAGATTGTCACAGATGAACCTGAAAGCAGAATGTTATTATTGTCAAACAAAAGCAGGATTTTCGAAAACATGATTGAACATGTACCTAAATCCAGTTGCAGACTGAAGGGAACGCTTGATAGGTCTTTGCTTCCCAGTGGTGACATTTATTTGTCTCATAACTAAAAATTATGTCAAGTTTTAATGTTTACTTGAAGAGAACAGAAAACTTAACTACTCACCTGAAAAATCCAGTCTGTAGGTATACTTGGCGGTGTAAAACTCCATCACTCCACGCTGGTTTCTGTTGTAACACTGCTCAATTTGAGCACTTGTCACAGAACATGCAGCACTGGGATCAATCTGCAAATAGCGAGACATTTATAAACCATCTAATTCAAAGAAAAATCACTCGACACTTATTACAAGTTAGGCTCTCCATCACCTGTTCTTAGACTTATCCATCTCCTATGGTCTGGAAATATCACAACCACCGTCCTTAGAATAAAATCCTGGTTCGCCTACTGATTAACGTACTAGAACTCCCAGAGCAGTCATTTTGACGGCTTCTATTCTACCCAATAACTTTCAGAAAACATCTCAGAAAAATGAGCTAGTTTTCCATCAGTTTTCTTAAAAGTAAGAAATATTTTTTTCTCTTTTTTTCACATGCTATAACTGGTGAATATAACTTGAATAACAGCTAAAACAGTTTGTTGAAAAGCTAAATGCTATGTATACATAAAACAAGTAAATACTGTGTTGCCATTAACACTAGAATTTGCTCTGCTCTGGTGGAAAACAAAGCTAGACCAAAACCAGGACTAGTCCAGGACCAGGGACAGAACCAGAACCAGTTCAGAACCAGCACATTGGAGAGAAGGGGCTGCCATAAAATGTTTATTTCAAAAAATAAAGATAAATCAACAGATAGATACAGAAACAGTAACAAAGTTAGGAAAACCACAAAGCCAAAGGAAAACTTCCAAAACTAAAAGCCATCAATTTGACTGCTCTGGAAGGTCAAGTGTTCAAGGGCTTGTTCACACTAAAGGGCACAAAAGTGTGACAAAAGGCCAAAAATTAGATTTTAATAATCAGAAGATATTTTATGTTTTTCATGTTTTCAAGCACCTCCTCTGTCCATTAGAAGTTGCTAGAACATAACTGTTTTATACATTAGACAAGTTTCCTATAGCGGCCCTGTTTATTTTATGTAACGGACGTGATGATTTGACGGAATGAGCTTTGTGGAAGTTTGATAGGTATTTTCAAATGTCCACATTTGATTCAGAGATTCTATTTTTTTTTCACAAAGTAGATGCAAAGTGATACTTTCATATTGTCAAGCAATTAAATGTGAAAACAGACCAGATTTTTGTTTTCCTCAAGTTTAATTTTTAGAGAAAAGAGGACCGTCCTCATCACGTCCGTTATACATTTTTCAGGGGTCATTTAATTAATTAATTATATCAAGTGATTTCCTTCTGTTGTGTTAACCATGTAAATCTTGTGGGATTTTATCTTCTGCTTTTTCAGACTGAGGACATTTTATTTTCTATGTAACTGGCGTCACAGTAGAATGATCCAATCAGAGGCTCATTTGGTCGTTTAAAATGTTGCTAAACATTTTTATGCCAATCTTTCCTTTTGATTTTTTCCACACTATCTCTTCAATCTGTCTGTGTTTGAAATCTTTTTTCCAATCTATGAAAGTAATTTTAGTTTTTAAGTTATAACCTTTTAAAGTCCAGATACTTCAATTGTCACTTTACTGTGAACACACGATTGAGGAAAAAAAAAAGACCTTGCGGAAACTCACAACTCAATTTGTTATTTCTTTATTTCTTTAAAAAAAAAAATCACTGATAATTATGAGATAATTATCCAGCTTGAGGAAATATATTCACTGTTCCTTGTTTGTTACCTCAAACATATGCCACACTCCACATTCAGCCAGGTAGAACCAGCACCAGTTTGTCTCGGAGATGTCCATGTCCTCCATCTCTGAGGAGTCCTCCTCAGATTTGATAGAACACATTTCTTTAAAAGATAAGGGAATGGTTTTAGAATAACGATACAAATAATTGTGTCATAATTAGACGTTCAAATGTAGTTAAAAACAAGCACTCCACATGCTCGCATCTACACTAGCGTCAGAATGATCGGGGAACTACATTTCTGGAAGCCTGCCTAGAAGACGTTAGAATTCACATTATGCTACATTTGCGTTCATTTTTAGGGTAACTCATTGGGACGAGAAGCATTCTTATGTACAAATATAAATCATACCAGAGATATCGCTCTCTCCTTATTCCCTTAACAAAAGATGCCCGCTCCAGCTAATAACCAGCAACACCATTTGTAAATGCCATTTTGCATCACCGATTACCAAACAACCAGTTAGCAACATGGATCTGGTTAGCAACAAAAACAACCGTCTACTTGTGTTTACATTTATTTCCTGGTTCGAGGCAGATGACGTGACTTCTCTGGATGCAGTTTAAACCCTAAGCTTTGTCTCTCAGGAAGAGAAAAAGCGTAGATTTAACACGTGTCCATGAACCTAATCAAACTAGACATTTTTAATAAACATTACGAGATTCAGAAAGAAAAGAAAACATATTTAAACCATTGTAATGCGATCATATTTAATTTTTAGACCTTTTGCAATTTTGCGGTCGAATAAATTCTGACATGCAAAGTTTAATAGTAAAAAACGCAAATTTGGGGCGCGCGGGGTGTATCAATCCCAGACCACACCCCTGCACAGCGAGAAAAAAAAAAACATCCGAAGTGGCTGCAGAGAATGAAATAATTTATTCTCTCAAACGGACACGACTAAAGCTTTGCCGTGCAGTCTGTGGTAAAGTGCATTTGATTTGGATTTCCCATGCTTTTCTTTTCTTGTTCGTGAGTAATGTAGTGCATGTCACAAAAAGACACTTGTAGTATTTCTTTTATCACTTTTGACACTCTCTTTTGTTGTCGCAAGATTTCATAACTATGGGCACGGAGACAGTCGACGGGGTCCCCTCAAGTGACCCTGAGGAAAATCAGGCAAACGAGAGAGAGGCAAGGGGAAAATGGGCCAACAACACGGAGTTCATTCTTGCCATGGCTGGAGAAATCATCGGCTTGGGGAATGTTTGGCGCTTTCCTTATCTCTGCTATAGAAATGGAGGTGGTAAGCAGACACACTGACAGGCTTATTACACATTATTTTAAATTAAATATTAACATTACAATTCGAGAACGATAAAATTCTGTCTTCTTTTTTAATATAATTTAAATCTTTATTGACTCGTTCAGCAGTTCTTACATTAACAATGTACACAATGTTATATACATGGTACCTTATAATTTGTACATTTGTTAACACCTTTTTTTTTTTTTTTTTTTTACATAATAGGACAAAAACAACAGAACAATTGAGTAGCAAATAAAGGTATATCACACGTGACCTTGAGTGCTGGTATAACGTGTCCAACATTTCCAATAGTCATGATCTTCATCTTTTGAGAAAATGTGCTATCTTTTACATATCGAGATCTTATTTGCTAAGCCAGAGGTGGCACTTTATGTTTCACTGGGAAAAAAAACGGAGAAAAACATTCATATGATAAGTAATGATAGAACCAAACAGTATTGAGAGCTAGTTTACACGGATTTTACGGTTCTGATGGTTTCTGAAAGTTTGATACACTTTAAATGTACTATAACAACAACAAGAACACCAAGCCTACCATGATGATTCATTGCCGTCTGATGTCTGTGTTATCCAGGAGTGTTCTTCATCCCATATTTTGTGTTCCTGGTTTTTTGTGGCATCCCTGTTTTCTTTCTGGAAACAGCCTTGGGACAGTACACAAGCGAAGGAGGGGTGACAGCCTGGAGGAAGATTTGTCCCATGGCTGAAGGTAAGCATGAAATACGATATAAATTATAATGACTAATCTGCAGTTTTGAGATTACCCCTGTAATACAGTATCTCTTTATCGCACAGGGATTGGCTTTGCCTCTCAAGTAATTGTGACCTACCTGAACATCTATTACATCGTTATTTTGGCCTGGGGCATTTTTTACCTGTTCCACTGCTTTCAAAGTCCTCTGCCGTGGTCTACATGTGATAACTGGTGGAACTCTAGTAAGGCCACTCAGTTTAACAATCAACACAGACACTCCTTTATTAATGAGCACTGACTTGTATTCTTGTGCATTTTCTCCAGAGGACTGCCAGAATAAAGAAATCCTCTTGTCCAACCCAAATATGTTTAATTTTACTGACAACTGGTCCTTCCTCCACAATACTTCTTCAGAAGATTATTATGACGAGATGAATTACACGTTAGTATGATTTAATATTCTCTTTTTTTGTAGCTAGTCAAATGTGATGACTTTTGGCAAGAAAATGCAGTCGATGAAAGCTGTAAGAGGTTAAAAGTACATCATAAATCTCAGTATGGTTGCATTCTGTGGAGAGGATATCTTTGCAGAAATCTGTTGTTAAAAGGATATAACTTAGCAATGACTGATTCAAATGTTCATATCCTTTTTGTTCTTATTTTCAGAATCATCGAGCAATATTCTCACACACCAGAAGGGGAATTCTTTAAGTAATAATCACACACATTTTGCGGTTGCTTTTTTTACATAATAAATTGCGGGAACAGGGACAAGTCATAGTGCTTGTGTCTTTATGTTCAAATGCAAACTCAGTCTTAACATGTTACAATTGGGATTGACCGTTTTCTATAAAAGAGTCATAGCAAAAATAACAAAAATGGTAAACATTTTCTTGAGAAGATAAGATAAGATTGATCTCTTTATTGATCTCTCAATGGAGAAATGTATACATCGCATTTGGCATAAATTGATGCAATAAACCTTGTGTGAACAGAGAATGTGCAAACTTGTTAAAAAGAGGAAGTATGTATAATTAAATCAAATATTAATATTATTGATTATAGCAGTTTACAATCCTAGTGCAGCTCATTAAGTGATCTATTGTACAATGGAGAAAGGGTGTTGTATGTCTTTTTAGCAACACATGTTCCAGATGGTTAACTTGCATAAACTTATTTTCTTCCTCTAGCAACCGTCTTTTGAGAATGAATGACCCTAGCAGTGATGGAAAGATACTCTGGGATATTGCTTTATGTCTTCTTGCTGCGTGGGTCATCGTTTACCTCTGTATTTTTAAGGGAGTGAAATCCACAGGCAAGGCAAGTATTTTCATGATAAGCCCCCGAATCTGGTATTTTCATGCAACAACACAAACAAAAACTTCATAAAAAACGTAATCATTTAGTTAGATCCTGTATTGTGCCCTTTGTTGTGTGACCCATAATAATCCTTACAATGGGTTTATAGGTTGTATATTTTACCGCTACATTTCCATATGTGATGTTGTTCATCCTCTTCATCCGTGGAGTGACACTTCCTGGAGCTGGACAGGGAATCAAATATTATCTCTATCCAGACTTTACAAGACTCGCTGATCCATCCGTAAGTACTTGTGTATACTGTATTTTTACTTCATTAACAAAGTCATAGTTTCATTCAAAGAGTAACGTGACACAAAAGACACAATATTTTCATTCAAGTTTGCGGAGGTGAATTATAGATAAAATGTGGACCACACTTTTCCAAATGGTATGATTAATATTATTATCAATTTGCAATGGTCGCACAATATGGGTTATGTTTTTGTGACGCCACGACACTCCAAGAGTCTATATTAAACAATGTATATGAAATTGAGGGGGATGGCAGCTAAAATGGCATGGTAACTATGGTAACTAAAGTCAGATTTCTCTCAGTTTATAGCTAATTTCTCTGTAGTTCCTGGGTCAATTCACATGAAACAAAAAAACAAATTCTGCATCTTCTATATCAGTATATATATGGTCTCAAAGTGGTGTTATATTCAAACAACATATGTAAGATGTTGGCTACACATAAAATATGGCAGGTTTGGGAATCTTATCACCAACTAACATACAGTAGATGACATTTTCTTTTTCGTAAATTTCTGTTAAAAAGTTGTGATCTCCAACTGAATCAGAATTCTACAACACACAAACACAACCTATTGGTATGTTTCGCCTAGTTGTGTAATGATCATTGGCCAAAAGGAGGAAAATAAACAGTGACGGGGAAGTTAGGTAACTCCAGATGCCTCTCAAACCAGATGTATTTGCAAAAGGCATACACAAGATGCTCCACTCAAAATCTGAGACATCTGGGATTCCATGTTCTGTTGTAACTCAAACTCCTGCTTTGAAGATGACTATGTGCGTGCCTACATTCAGTAGAACATTTGAACTCTAACCCAGTTGATGTCATTTGTAGAAAACGTTGAATGCAACAAGTTTCTCTTTGTCGGATGTCATATGTGAGGCCTTTTTTTTTCACCAGACACAGCTCTCTTGTATCTCCTTCTGAGAGAGAGAAGTCAGCCCTATCACAGGACTGGGGCCTACAACGAACTCCTGCCACCCCTTTGTGAGAAGCATTCAGCGGTGCCTCTAATGTTATCCAGATGCTTCCCAGACCGTTACTGACAAAGCTTCATATAAACAAATCCTCTAGCCGCCGCAATCATTCCTTTATAGTGAGCCTAACAGAGCACATGTGAGACACGCTGATTTAATATGTTGTGTGTCACATGGGTTGTCGAATAGAGGCATTTGTGTTTTTCCTGCTTGCATTCCAGCTCATAAAACAGCCCTTACTAATACTGTGTAATCGTTTAATGGTCCCTGAAGGTTTGGAGTGATGCAGGCACACAAGTTTTCTTCTCCTACGCTGTGTGCCAGGGGGTTCTGACTGCTCTTGGAAGTTACAACAATTATAACAACAACTGCTACAGGTTACACACATGCATTCTTTCATGATTGAAATTACAAACCTCTTACTTGCTTCCTTTATTTTGGCAGAGACTGTTTGGCCCTGTGCTGTCTAAATAGCGCCACTAGCATCTTTGCTGGTTTTGTTGTTTTCTCTGTGTTGGGATTTATGGCCCTTGAGCTTGGCGTGCCCATGGAAGAGGTCACTGCGAGCGGTGAGTGCACTAGTTTTGAATGGTTGTTAATCACATTGTCCACTAGATGGCACTTCGGTTGTTAAAAATTACAATGTCAAGCTTCTCCACACTCATTTAGATTGTACATTACATTGTTTTTTTTGTTTTATTTTAAATCATGCCTTGGATTCTAAGTCCTGGATTCACATTTGTTTCAGGTCCTGGTCTGGCTTTCATTGCATATCCAAAGGCTCTCTCAATGCTTCCTGTCTCTTCCTTTTGGGCTGTGTTATTCTTCTTAATGATCATTTTCCTGGGCTTGGACAGTCAGGTTATTCATTCATTGCGGATTAATTGACATCTTATTATTGCTTTCAGAAATGTAATTAAATTTAAAATGTTGTTTTTAGTTTGTTTGTGTTGAGAGCTTAGCTACCGCCATCACAGATATGTTCCCACGTTACCTCCGAAGAAGGGGAGCCCGAGAGATCCTTGTGCTGGTTATTGCTGTGGTTTGCTTTTTGCTTGCTCTGCCTCTAGTCTGTGGGGTGAGTATAAATAGATACATTACGCATTAATATTAATCAATTTATAATTTTTCTCTTTTTCAAATGTTTCCAAACATGCATAAAAAAACACATACAAACACACAAGACACACACAGGTCCAGGGCAGAAACCAAACTAAAATATGAAAGCACAATATTCTCAGGGTCCATAAACAATGCTTAGCTTATATATAGAATGTATGCTAACAATTACATGAGCAAACAAACCAAGACATAATTAAAGCTGGTTTACTTAACTTTTAAAACAACAAAAAACGGCATAATAAAATTCATTCATTGGTCTCACCTCAAAGAGTCAAAAAGTGACTCACATGGTTTTTTTACAAGTTTGCAAAGGTTAATTGTTTTTGCTTAAGATGAATACAACATTATGGGCTCTGAAAAAATAGGTCCTCAAGCCTTAAATAAAGCCATAGAATAAAAACAAATACATTAAGAAGTTCAATTTTTGCTTCTATTTGACACAAACCATCTCTTATTGCATTGATAATCTGTCTTTAGTGTTTTGTTGTCTATTTCGCACACTGGGTATTTGCATGAATATTCTGTGTGTGTTATTTTTACCGCAAATGAACTGATTCTGAAGAATATAGAGATTATTTGCAATGATATTGAGATGTTGATATGTTCTGTGTTCTGTGTGTCAGAGAGGGATTTTCCTGTTTAATCTCATTGACACATTTGGAGCCAGTGGGATCACACTCCTGTTCATAGCCATGTTCGAGTGCATCGTGATCGGCTGGGTTTATGGTATGTTGAGCTGGGGTATCTTGGGGTCCCTTTTCTGGCCGTTCAATCATGAGTAATAATGGCGCCTCTTCTACAGGGGCGGACCGCTTCTTCCACAACATTGAGGACATGGTTGGATATCCACCTATCCCGGTGTTTAAATACTGCTGGATGTTCATTACACCATTAATCTGTGGGGTAACCTGTTCACACGTCTTCTTTCCCTGTTTGTGTAATTTCACTGTTTAACTAGGGATGGAAATGTACAGTTCTAAAGATTTCCCTAGTCTAGTTTACAGATTTCCCTAACCTAACTTTGTTCTGTCCCTCAGATAACATTGCTTTACAACCTAGAACCTGAAAGTGTTCATATATATGGCGAAGTGTTGTCCCCTGCCTATAGAAGGGTAGGTGCTCTCCTCATCCTCACACCAATGATATGCATCCCACTCTTCGTTTTACGCTCTCTGTATTATGTAAGTATTTTCATAATAATCTATAAAAAATAAACTAGATAAATAGGTACGCTCATTTATATGTATTTGCTTTTTTCTTTCTTTAGTATCCCGATAACATGACCACACCCTCCAGTGACCTACGCCAGGCTCTACCACACAAGCCTATATTGACCCTATGTAAACGTGTGATCTTTCCTGCACAAGGGAAAGCAAAGCTAAATGTGCCGTTGGAAATGAATGAGAAGTCACTGCATGAACCTGATGTTTAACAATATGCATTTCAGGGATCTCCCTGAAGTAGCAAGTTAATCTACGCCCGCTTAACTTCTAACTGGGTAATATATGCAACTGGACCAGTCAAATGTATTTCACAAATGTTAGATTTAGAATTTATTAAGATGTCATCGGTGGTCCTTCATGATTATCCAAAGATATTTATGAAGTGAAACAAAAGTATTAAGTGTAACAAAGTAAAATAAGAGGTGCTCTAACTGCATTTGTGTAAATGTTGTATTTAGGAGACATATTACTATTATATACATACAATACAATACAATACAATTTATTCTTGTATAGCCCTAGGTCACAACAGAAGTCATCTCAGAGGACTTAACAAAACCATTGAAATCACCAACACAGGTCAGAGAATCAACAGTTAAAACACATGAAGAATATAAAGCACACACAGAAGAAAATGTCCATACATGTTGTAGAATGCTAAAGTGTCCTGATCATCACCAATCCTTTCTGTTGGACACTAACTGTCCAACAAGACCCTCCTGCATCGACAAGGAAAAACTCTTAAAAAACCCAGTGGGAAAAAGTGAGAAACCTTGGAGGAGAACTAGGGAAACCCACAGGGAGGGAGACCCATATGAGAAAGGGATCCGCTCCTCCGGACGGACAGGCTAATGATCTAAGACCTAAGCTAGCTACAGAACGTGGACCAGTGGCTGCTGAACGTGGACAGGTCCGGTGCAGGACTGAAGCACTCCCAGGCGGGTCGGGCGGGGCAGTCCGCAGGTGTAGATGGAAGAGGCCAGGCTCAGAGATCCCGTCATCGTACCATGAAACAGACAATGGGACAACGGGTGAATAGCAATGAACAAACTACAGTCAGAATCCTAAAAATGCTAAACAGATAAAGTAGGAAGGAGGAGAGGATAGTGCTCAAGTTACCATACTTCTCCCAGCAAACTGACTCCCTATGCAGCTTGACTAACACTCCTACATAATATTCATCAGACTTTTAAAACAAAAGTACTGCCCCATTCCTTTTTTTTTGACAATTTCTCAGGTAATATGACAATCATATGGCTGTATTTGCAGCTGGTAATTCTTAAATTGGAAAAATAAAAACAATCTCAATGTGTTGCTACCAGAGGAATCTGGTGGTAGCATATAGAATTTTTACCTTTATTATCATTTTTAATGGCCAAATATGATGCATAATGCTTCTTTAAATATATTACACTGTATCTACTGAGATGAAATAACTATTGATTTTATGGTTAAATGTTATCTCTTTCCTTTCTGTGACTGACTCTTTTACTGGTAACAGTGTTGGTCAAAGTTATCCTGATAACCAGTAATGATTAAACACTAACCACAGTATAATGTATTCACTATCTTTATATTTGTTGCTATCATTTAAAATGTTTAATGTTTTTTATTAATCATAAAGTACTGTACTCATTTATTAAACAAAAATCAAAACTCTTAAAATGTACAACAGTAAATGTGACATTACTGAACGTTCACGCCTGCGCTTCATGGCAAACTCAGTCATGTGTGTAATCCAAAGTGGCATTCAATTAACAGTCGAATCCGCCCAGCGACTCAGATCTCAAATGTGTCTGCATGGACTTGTTCCCTTGTTTTTTACTGCATAGTTATATCTATTTTTAAATAATAAAAACAAGCATATTGAATCATTGGATTAATTTTTTTCTAGATTGTTGATTGTAAGAAGTTTCTATTGCATATTAATAGTTGTGTTGTTTTTGTTTTGGGGTTAGAGGTTTCCTAGTGAGCACTGTTAAAATTTGCACTCCGCCTCCATGAAACCTGCTACAGGCTGTAATTGCTAAAATAAGTGTTAATTGCTAAACGAATATATGTCAACAAACAGGAAATCGACAGCACAGCTGCTGGGGAACACAACTTCATCAATATTAACCCCCTCATAGATTCACTAGTTAGTATACGATCTATTTTGAAGTAGGCTAAATCTCTTGAAATCACAAATGCTGGAAACAAAAGAGGATTTTCCGTTCAAATCATGGAACATTTGATTAAAATTGGATTTGCATTTTTGTATTCAACCATTAAAGCTACTCATAGTAAGTGTGTAGTCTTAGACTCTGAGGTTGTGTTTATTTCAGTAAGATAATAAAATATGTTTTTTTTTTTACCAACAGCAGACTGATGGTGAATACTACGTCAAAGCATGAGGTTCATATATATTTTTTTTTACTCATAACGTTTCAACTTGTAAAAATATTCAAGTCATAATATATACAGGAAATAGTCAAAACAGTCTGAGATTAAAGTTGAGGTCAAAACTTTGAATTTATATTTTTATGACTTTTCTCTTGTAGTGCTGCATCATAATTCTTTTACATAAAAAAAAAAAAAAAAGATACATTGCAATCACAATTGGCGGCTGGTCAAAAGGCTTCCCCGCTTTGAATAGATGCCAATTGTTATTATAGAAATATGACCAATCAGAGCTGCTGCCCAAATCACATAGCACCAGCCTCTTGCTGATCCTCCTGCAGGTGGTTTGTGAATAACAATAGCCCTCTCCAATATTGGCTCGGGCTAAATATATATTATATATACTGTATAAATCCGTTCCTGAGGCTTAGAGGGTTCAGAACTATGCAAAACAGCAGTGAGGACAGAGCACCTCCTTTGTAGATTTGATGTTCACTTGTGCGAGTGGCTTCCACATCCCCATGAGTTAGCAGAAGTGCTGATCTCAAAAAGTCCTGCCAATGGCTGGAAAGGACTGGCCTACAGGAAAACACAGAGGCACTCATCATGGCTGCACAGGAGCAGGTCCTGAGCACCAGCGCGATAGAGGCCCAGATATACCACACCAGACAAGACCCAAGGTGTCGGTTGTGTAAAAAGGCACGGCGGCATAGGAGCACAGTGGTTAGAGCTTGTATTTCATAGCAAGAAGTTTCTGGGTCCGATTCCACCTCCAGGCCTTTCTGTGTTCTCCCTTTGTCTGCAAAGAATTCTTCCGGGTGCTCTCGTGTCCCCTACCACTAAAAACATAATGTAATGAATAAATGAGTGAGTGAGTGGATGGTGTTGGTCGGAGGTTTTAATGCGTCAGTGTGTTCGAGTGTGGTGTGAATGGAAAACTCTGAACGTTATAAAGCGCTTTGGGTGACCTTGGTCTGTATAATGCACTATACAAATAAACATTACTTACTTGCAATACAACACATAACTGTAGATGTGCAGGATGCTGGTAGTGAAAGCTCACATGGAACACCATAACCAATTAGCTGGCATAACGTATACAGGAACATCTTGCAGAGTATGGGCAAGAAACCCCAACGTCACGATGGGAAACTCCTCCAATGGTGGTGGGAAATGAGCGTGCAAAGATCCTGTGGGACTTCCAGATACAGATCGAATGAATGGGAATGGCAAAACAACCAGATATCATGGTGGTAGACAAAGGACAGAGGAATGCCGTGATGGAACACCCAGGGCTCAGAGGACCTCGAGAAGGCCTGGAAGGTAAAACTGACAGTAAAGCTGAGGAGTGGTTACAGTAGATCCCTGCAACAACCTCGGAACACTCAGCCCTGAAATATGTAGGGGCTAGGAGCAGCAAAGATACTGCGCAGAACCCTCAAGCTCCCAGGCTTCTGGTAGAGGACCCAAGCTTAGAGAGGGATAACCATTTGGAGTAGAGAGCTGAAGATGCGTCATTCATGGAGCCGTCTGCATCAAGAGCAGAGAGCCGCCTGCAGACACAGTGGACGACACAGTGGACGACACATCACCCAGAGAAGAGATTTTGAGGGTCCAAACCTCCAGCAGGTTCATGAGCCAGGACCTTCAACCCCATCCTTCACTTGAGCAATCCCTCAAGTGAAGGATTGCCCAAGTGAATGGTGCCCCATAATGGAGACACCATTATGCACTGACTGACTTTTTCTGACTTTTATCGAATAATATTTAGCTTAAACTCATATTAATTTAAGAAACATTTTGTAAAATTATGATGATACATGTTCATTAAGAGAAGAGTGTTTTGGGTAATATAGTAAAACCTTAAATATATGTGAAAAGCCTCACCTCATAGTTCCACAGCATGTAAACACCAATAGCCCTGGATTTGCAATATCTGCATTCACCCTCGTGGGCACATAAAATGCTGATCAATGACACTTTGGGCTCACTTGCACTTTGTTAATAATGCCCGATGCTGGCAAGGTTCCTGTCCTGTTCATGAAGCCTATTTCCAGGATGTTTGCCAACAGTCATTGCCTGCTGTATTTTCCAAAACTGCACGAGTCCTTTGACGAAGTAGGCTCTTCCTGTTGAGAAACACCATGGTAACGGGGCTGGCAAAAGCTGACCTCAACTATCACAGCCACACACATGCAGAAGTACCAACCACACACTCTATCAGTGCTCCACTGCAGAATCATTGATGCCCCTAGGGCCGGACCGAGCTCAACTGACCAGCAATCAAAGCAGACACAGGTCGAAATGTATTATCTACCATTCAATAGACTTGGGTCGTGTAGCTAAAGCCACTCGCAGAGCTGCAACACCAAACGCCTTCAGTGTTTGGATTAAGATCAAAAGCACACTCAACTCGGGCGCAGAGGGTCAAACAACAGCGTTTGAATTCTTATTAGAAGATCCAGTTTAATGATGTGACACTGATGAGCTGACACAGGACATCTCTGAGGTAGGACATTTATGCATGTTTGTATGTACTATTTTACATCTTTTTCTATTATAGCTTTGCCATAATAGGTTAGCCTTTAAAATCTTAAAGATCCTTTACATTGTACAATTAAATCAAATGGAAAAAAATCTACATATTAGAAACTAGAAAACAGAAAGATTGAACTATGTTAAACCTAAACCATATCTATATTATTATTGGTCAACAATTTGGTCCTTGTTTCCTTTGAAACAACTACAGTTGTGATCTTGGGTCATGCACAAAACATCCTCATTGTTTGAGGTCTAATTGCAGTGAAAACATATATTGTGTTTAGATAATTTGTTATTCATTCTGATCACATTTTCTATAAATTATTTCCAGTTTGTCTATTATTTAATTTGCATGTACAGCCAACTCTTATATAACTGAATATGTTCTAAAAACTAATACACCTATTGCTAAAGAAAGGCCATCAAGCTGAAGTAAAAAGTGTGTGTTTTAAAGCAGCTTCAAATTGCCAAACGTTTTCTAAAGGCATAAATGTTGCATGTGTGGGGGGTGTATGGATGAAACTGGTCAATTTATATTATCATTATTTATAATCATACTGGCTGTTGCTGCTCTTCATTGGCATGCGTTGCAGAGTGTGTACAGTTCATTTAATAATAACATTTACACAATATGTGTTATTGACTAATCTTCATACATGTGAAAGGGAATATGTATCCTATTCTAGTCAGTATGATTATCATATTAATTCATGTCTTAGTTTTATATAGGAAATACTAATTAAATACAATCAATGGCATTAGTTGATTTTTGTTCTCATTTCTGTGTCAATCAATACAAATTGGAACTTCCTCTGAATGCGCCCCATTTGACCTCTATGACAGAAAGCTGGTGGGTTTGTCTTCATTAAGATGCTCCAGAAAAGTGAAAGGTCTTTTTAAAACTGTTTTGTTGCTTATATGTCCACAGCTTTTCTGCACACTGCTCTAAAGCATCCATTGTGCTCAGGCTTGGGCTCAATCACTCCACTCATCATGGGGAAGACAAACCAGAGCGCAGTAGCACTAAATTCAACAAATGAGGCGAAACAGACAATTTCCTTTGAAATGGACTCGGTGCCCTCTGAAAATGCAAAGAAGAAAGAAGAGCCTCCTGACAGGGGCAGCTGGAAGGGCAAGTTTGACTTCCTATTGTCATGTGTGGGATACGCCATTGGTTTAGGGAATGTCTGGAGGTTCCCCTATCTCTGTGGAAAGAATGGTGGAGGTGAGTCTGGACCTGCAAGATGATGTCACATGTTTTCATTTAACTATGAAATATACCCAGGATGATTATTTGCGTTGTTTTATGATTTTATGATAGGGGCTTTTCTTATACCGTATTTCACAACATTGGTGTTTGCTGGAATCCCTCTGTTCTTCTTGGAGACCTCTCTGGGGCAGTTCACTTCAGTGGGAGGCCTTGGAGTTTGGAGACTAATCCCAATGATGAAAGGTCAGAAGGAAAATGCAAAGCTAACATAGCAGATTAATTCTCTAAATGTAGCCACTTTCCTGACTTTTACCTTTGAACATTATGGCACATTACAGATGGAACTCTGGGAAATAGAATACTGGTCAAAAGTTCATTTATTTAATTGTGATTCAACTTATAATGTGAAACTAATATATGCTCTGGAATCATTACGAGCAAAGTGACATCTGTCATGATGATTAGGGATTACTCCATTTTCAAAATATTCAAATATTATGAGATGTTTGGAATTTCTTGTGCCGGTCAAAGTGATTTGAGCTCACACTGCAGCATGCGTATTCCCAGGCTAACATGCGCTCTGATTAGGACACGTTTTACACAGCGACTGGTTCTCGCACAATCCCTTTCCCTTATCTTTCTTACCTTCTCTTGTCTGATTAATCAAATGTCTTAAAGAAGCTCTGTCACCAAACGGGTTAATAGCTCTTGGTGCATTTATCTTAGTGTGTACTGTACAGTGAGATTCAAATGGCAGCTTAAGAGCATTTGAAAATGTACCGATGGAAACAAAACAATACAGCTACACACATTTTTCAGTAAATTGTGGTAAACAATTCACCAAACCCAGTATTGTTCATGTTTTGCTTTTCAGGAGTAGGATTGGCTGCAGTGGTACTTTCTTTCTGGCTTAACATCTACTACATAGTCATCATTGCCTGGGCTCTCTACTACCTGTTCAACTCTTTTGGCTCGGTATGTTTCCATTTGATGTTTAACCCATCAAATGTTTCTTATATATTTTTTTTTTGACTAATTTGAGTGGGGACAAATACAGAAAGCAAAACACTGACAAAAGTTTGACAAATCTTAGACAAACGGTGGTACAGCAGTGCATGCATCATAGTACATATAATTCAAAAGGTAAAGGTGCACTTTATGAATCCCCGTAGGGCAATTCAATCCTCTGCATTTGACCCATCCTGATGCCGCTAAGGCTTACGTCAGGAGCAGTGGTCGCCGTAGAACAGCGCCCGGGAACCCATCTCCAGATGTTGATGCTCGACTTGGTCAGGACTACCAGAGCTGGAGGAATTTAGCCTAGTGAGCATGTTTTTAGTTGTAGGGGAAATCGGAGTACCCGGAGGAAACCTACGCAGGCACGGGGAGAACATGCAAACTCCACTCAGAAAGACCCTGTTCCGACCGGGATTCTCATATAAAAAATGAAAGATAATGTGTGACACTCACATGGTAGTTCATGAATAGTGTCTTTATATTCAGAGGGAAAGCAGCAATTCTGTGACATAATGCAAAATAATAATAATAATACTGATAATAATGATGATGATGATGATGATAATAATATTGGACTTCGATTCCTGAACAGGATGAAAATGAGGCCTATCTTGTGTTATCTGCTGCTGTCCAAAATATAGTTCCATGTCTTATAACTTGGATTTACTGTTTGCAGGATCTACCCTGGCAAAGCTGTGACAACCCATGGAACACAGATCAATGCTTCTGTAATTATAGCCTGATGGACACCACCAACCTGACGAGCGCTGTGGAGGAGTTCTGGGAGTAAATCACATGCTCTATATTTACATTATGTACCGTGACTCGCCGTGGGCAGGGCTTGAAATGCTCATTAGATTGTATGATTTTCCTTTAGGCGCAACATGCACCAATTGACTAATGGACTGGAGGAGCCAGGGGAGGTGCGCTGGCCCTTAGTGGGAACTCTAGCCCTTGCATGGATCCTGGTCTACTTCTCCATTTGGAAAGGAGTGGAGTGGACTGGAAAGGTTAGAGTGCAACAATTACTATGTGGATTACAATATATTAGTATTATTATAAAGATAGATTTGCCTTTAAACATTTTAGGCTTTGAGTTTAGGCTTCAAGAATCTGCAAGAATCCTTATTAAACTAAACTCCGCTCCCATCTCTGTGTGGAGAGAGAGACAAATGCCCACAACAATTGCAAAGCGCTTTGTGACTCTGGTCTTTGAAAGGCCCTATATAAATAAAGATTAATTACTTCTTGAAGCCTAATCCACTCATGTTGTCATAAATTGCCATAGAGAATTTGAATTTGCAACATTTCTGGTGAATTTATGCTTCCTGTCCCTGTTCTGCAGGTGGTGTACTTCTCAGCCACCTATCCCTACGTTATGCTTTTTATCCTGTTTTTTCGTGGAGTTACTTTGCCTGGTGCCATTGATGGGATCCTTTTCTACATCACCCCAGATTTTAACAAGCTCATGCGATCAGAGGTATACCTATATTAACATCAAGACGTGAACATATATATGCAGTACACAAAGCTAAAATGTGTGAATGCATCTCAGGTTTGGTTGGATGCTGCAACTCAGATTTTCTTCTCTTATGGACTTGGCCTTGGATCTCTCATCGCTCTAGGGAGTTACAACTCGTATAACAATGACGTTTACAAGTAAGGACACTTCCTCTAATCTGGCATATCATTATTCCTGCTTTATCTGCCCTCCTATTGACCTCGGGTTAGGTCAACACTAATACTTTATTTGTCCGTTCACTGTGCTGTAGGGACTCTATCATTGTGTGCTGCATCAACTCCTGCACAAGTATGTTTGCCGGATTTGTCATCTTCTCCATTGTGGGCTTCATGTCTAACATCACCAAGAAACCTGTAGCCGAACTGGCAGCATCGGGTAAGAATATATATACTACACAGCGCCGCAAATGGCGAAGTGGCACGCTCTCTGCCAAAACAATTTCCAACTTTTGTTTGTTACTTACGTGGCAATAAAAATGATTCTGATTCTGAATATGAAAAAAGAATGTTTCACAGAGACATGCATAGATTACCTAACTCATCTAAAGCGACCAAACATGTATTTCTGGTTGTTCTGCCATCTGGTCTAAAAGCAGAGTGCAATCATGAAGCTTAAATGTCATGCTCTTTATCACGTTGTGTGAATGCAAAGTATTCACACTGAGCCAGTTACATACATTTGTTTTCTGAATGTAATTTCATTCTTCAATATAGACCCGATATGTGGGAATTAAGATCCAAAACCTCTGGACCAAACCCTTTTAAACTATTTAGTTTACCACACACAGCTACAGTGTCATATTGACATATATCAATACATTAATATGGATTTTTTGTTATTGACACTAGACATTTTGTCAATATGTTCAAGTATATGTTATTCCAATGGTGTAGGTTTGGTTCCAATCTTGGTGGGGACATTCACTACGACCTGAGTCTACACCCATTGACACGGGGTCCAGAGTTTCTCCCCCAGAATTTGTTGTGTAATCACACACTATATTTGCAATAGTGTGTTGCCTTCTATACTAAACTCAGCTGTAGACTGAATGAGAAGCAGTTATGTATGTTAACAGAAGATTAATCATCACAATTCATAATTTTCTATTACTTGTGCTTTCTCTTACTTACTTTCCAACTGTTAAAAAAGCTCCTGATATCTTTTATCTTATTTGTGGAGGTGGCATTTTTTCTAAATTATATAAGAAGGTATAGAAAATCAAAAACAGACATTCATATACATGAACTGCAGAATCATTTATATAACTTGGCCAATGTCAAAAGTTACATAGTATTTCTCAATACAATGAGTTAACAAGAGTTTGGCAATAAGTAACAGTGTGGATTTTTCTATATTTTCTTTTTTTTATTCCACTCTCTACTCAAAAAGGCAAGTAATGACTCACAGGGCTCTCAAGTATGCAAAATAAAAACTTAAATGACCTGTTGTGGTGTGTTTTGCGCACAACCAGCATGCATCGTTAACGCAATGGAAAATTTACGTATCCGAGCTTTAATTTCGGGAGCGCTGGTTGCGCTTTGTCAGGGGAGAGACATGTCAGAGACACAGGGGAGAAACGGGGGAGATACGAGGGAGACCCGCACTTGCAACATGGTTCTGTCTGCATATGGTCCGAGCTCGGTACCATGTTAGAGCTGTGCTTTCACTGAGCGCCGCGGCTGTCATTACAAAGCGGCAGCAGCTGCACCAGGACGTGCACATTCGAGTGCATCTCTTGAATGTGCTTAGAGCAAATAACAGCAAGTGCCCGCTGTCACACATTTCACAGAAATTACATTATCAGCAGATAAAGGTTGTAAATCGTGGATCCGTGGAATATTTTCATCCCTAGTTTATCCTGATTCACACAACACACCCACTTATACATTTTGGATAGTAAGAGCACAATAAGTATTTTTTCAGCCTTTCAACCAACCTGTTTCTTTATTGGAGCCAGTTCTGTTCTGTCTCTGTGCCGTGTGAGCTCCTCGGAACATTAAACAGTGCGCTGACAGATTAGAAATAACGTAAGTACTTTGAATGGTAATTGATCTACAGTACTTTCCTCTGATTACTCACGTGCTACAACGCTCAGGGAACGAAAAAAAACACTTGCTTCACGCTGGCTAACTTTTAAAAATTAAACAGTCGCTCAGTGCTTCAGTTTGGCGCTGAAGAAGACAGCCAATCACTGCAGAGAACGGAACGGGTCACGTGCTGCTGCTGCTGCTGTTGCTCTGGAGGCGAGGAGGAGGCGCGACGTATGCACAAACGGAAGACATGTGTCCCGGACCGTCCGGGTCCCGGGACATCATGTCATTTTGGTGGGGACTTTTTAGTCCTCACCAAATATTGGTGGGGACATGTCCCCATGGTCCCCACGCAAACCTACGCCCTTGTGTTATTCACAGTATTATCGTAAACGTATCATTGAATCTCAACTACATTAGTTCAAAGTTTCTCCACAAGTTGAGGAACACTGTTTTGTAAAAGTGCATTATAATGAACATACTGTATGTTTTGGGTTCTAAACGATCAGATAGCGATCCATTGTGCATTTGCTTTTTGACTCACATCAACAAACACAACCTGCAGCCATACAGTAGGTCCATTTAAACTGTTTTTTAAAACTAAAACATTAAATCATTGTGCCTGTGCCTGTGTCTGTGTGCGGTCATATTTTTAAACATATTTTATAATATCAAGACTTTCATTATAACAATATAATTAGTAATTTTAAATGCAAACTAAACTATGGCTCTAACAATGTCACATCAATATTATCTGATTTTGAAAAATATATCAAAAAACCTAATGTATGATTTATCTAGGGCCAGGACTTGCCTTTTTGGCTTACCCCCAGGCGGTGACCCAGCTCCCTATGTCTTCTCTATGGGCGATCTTGTTTTTCTCTATGCTGATGATGCTGGGACTGGATAGTCAGGTATGAGAAACACATTATGCATTAGTGATGGCTTTTCCTTTGATGTACTTTTTGCCCACTCCTCTCAGTTCTGTACAGTGGAGGGCTTCATCACAGCTCTGATGGATGAGTACCCCATGTTACTGAGGAAGAGGAAGAAGCTCTTCATCCTCATTGTGTGTTTCATCTCTTTCATTATTGGATTCTCTAACATCACACAGGTACGTTTCATTTGTGTTCTTGCACTTTCACACCTGTTCTCCAACAAGTCACATATTTTCAATTCAATTTAATTTATTGTTGTATAGCCCTACATCACAACAGTAGTCATCTGTAGTAGTAATCTCGGAGGACTTTACAAAACCGTTACATTTGCCAACACAGATCAGAGAATCAAACAATAATACAAAACACGTAGAGCCATCAGTCCATAAGAGGCAGGTGACCAAGGTCCAAGTGTCCATACATTTCGTTGAATGTTGAGTGTCCTGGATCTTCACTTCTGTCCTTAGACCCTCCTGCATTGGCATGGAAAAACTCTAATAAAAAATTGCATTATCATTAGGGATTAAGAAACATAAAGATTACCTTTAAACCACTAAAATGTAACTATGAAATAAAAACCATCTCAAGTGGTTCCTCGCTCTTATAACACTTTGATTGGATTAAAAATAAAAAGACGACCACCCTCATTCAGCCAATCAGTTCTAATAGTGACTCAATCTTATATGCAGCAGATGACATGTTTCTGATAAGATGAAGCCAGCGTGTTGTAGTCTGATTTGTTCACAAAATCTGGCATGTACAAGACTCTTTCTGTTGAGACAATTGGAAAAAATATCATTCATGAAAAAAGTGACCCCAGTTTAGATAATTGGTCAACAATAGACATCAGCGGGAGTTGGTGGAGAAGGTCTTGTAGCGGGCTCGAACCCACAACCTTCGGGCTCAACCAACTGAGCCACTGTCGCCCCTTGATTACAGCCCCTGTAATTCTGCCCCTTATGTCTAAAAGTTCCTGTCTCAATAGTGTAATCGTATGATGTCATTGTGCCACTATGACATCACGCTCAGGGCAGTTTAATCAGTACAACTAAATTTGGTTTTGGCAATTTCTCAAGTTAAATTAAGCTCTTTACAAACGGATGGCTGTGGTTGCTGCAGGTATTTTTTAAATTTGAAACAAACAAACAAACCCCAAAACAAATCAATTCTTCCCTCTAGTGGTAGCATAGGGAAATACAGACAGAAGGCATTACCCTCTTAGGCTACAACATAGATTCTACTTAAGATACTGTTTCACATTCTCAAACATGAAATGTTAAAGAAAATCAGTTTTAAAGCCTAAAATGTTTAATATTTCTTCTTTATAAAACCTTGTTATTCATTGTTCCATCTACATTTGCATAAGGAGGGGATAAAAAACAAGCTTAGGCTACGATACTACGGGTCTTTCCTAAATAATTAAACCATGGTTTCACCTTGAGGAGTTTACATAATGACTTCATGCACCAACAACATGCCTCTTAATATTCAGCTTCTCACTTTGTGTGTGACTGAACTTGTTATTATTGTGTGGATGAGAGCATTTTGTTTCCACTGTCTCTTGAGGGGTTTAAAGTCTTAACAGAAATGAGAATATAATTTACCTCTTTAAAGACATTGAAAGTAGGATGAATGCAGAGCGGATGGTGGCTGTAACTGCAGTGTTCATGTGTGTATTGCAGGGTGGGCTTTACGTGTTCAAGCTGTTTGATTATTACTCTGCCAGTGGGATGTGCCTGCTCTACCTTGTCTTCTTTGAAACTGTTTCGATCGCTTGGTTTTATGGTATTAACTCAATTATATCCTTTCATTCAAGGCAAATATGCAAAAGGAGCAATACAACCAAATCATAATAAACTAAGCTAAAACACATATTTGTTTACAACATTTGGCTAATTCTTTCCTCACCCCACAATGTTTTGCTAATATCTTGTATTGTCCCACAGGAGCTGAAAGGTTTTATAAAGATATAGAAGACATGATTGGGTATCGACCGTGTATATGGTGGAAGCTCTGTTGGATGTTTTTCACTCCACTCATCTGCCTGGTACATCTTACTCATCTCACTCTTACAATGCAAATAATAATATGCACATAATAATGACCTATCATATACTGTAGCTGAGCGCATTTCTATAGCATAATGGATTGTGTCTATGATTATATTTGTCCGTCCCTCATGTTTTGTCCCTATTTTCCTTAGGGAGTGTTCACATTCAGCGCCATAGAGATGACACCCCTGACCTTGGGGAAGTATGTGTATCCTCTCTGGGGCCAGGTGATCGGCTGGTTCATGGCCCTGTCCTCCATGATCCTGATCCCTGGTTATGTTATTTACATGTTCTGCACCACCAAGGGAGGCCTCAAAACGGTAAGACTAGAGTAAAGTATATGTCTTTCAATCATTCATGTGCTTCAGTAAAAGCAAAGACGTATCAGGTTTTATTAGAACAAGTAAAATACAGTTTTGCAATAGATGGGCAAGATAAATAAAATATCTTTATTTTCATATTATGCTTCAATAATTTATATTTATAGTGATACTAGTAAGTAAGTATTTAAGTAAGTAAGTAAGTGATCTTTATTTATATACCGCCTTTCACAGTCCAGAGTCACAAGCGGTTTATAATTGTTATTTTGGGCAATTGTCCTCTCACTCCACACAGAAATGAGAGCGGGGTCGCCAGTACAGGAGGCGCATGCCAGACCTATTGTACATGTTTTTAGTGGTAGGGGAAGCCGGAACACCCGGAGGAAACCTACTAATAATAACAGCAGGGATAATAAAAATAATACTAACCATGTATTCATATGCTTAAATATTCTTTATTTTGTTGAAGAAGTGCTTCATATGCAAATAGTATGACAAAAACCAAAACCCATAGATGCCGAATGCCACTGTTGATCTAGCATGGATAACCACAATTAATTCATTCACTTAGAACCATGGCTAACCACTTGCACTAACCTGTATTAGTCCATTTGGAGATTGCACACACTTTCTTCTGCAGTTCATAGGTTCACACTTCTATCTATTGTGTTTATGTTTTAAAGGTTGTTTTATGTGTTAATTAAAGTAACTAACAACAAGTTAACAAACCTTTATAAAAATATACAAATTCAGTTGCGTTCATGTAAAATGTTGTAACATGCTTAAAACCCATGTTTAACATTGTGTTGGAAGGCAGCTGAAAACATCTTTCCTGCTAGTTTGGTGAAGATAAATCTGATTCCTGGGTCAATCCACATGAAACTAAAACCCACACTTTTTTTTTTTTGTCAGTACAACCATTGTCTATTTTTTTTTCTCATAAAGGAAAAATGCATTATGTTGGGTTTATGAATCTATCACTATCAAATAATGAAAAGGAAAACATACATTATTCCCAGCCCATTATCTTTCATCTTTCCCACTGGTACCTGCCCTCCAGCTAATTACAATTCTCAAACATGAATGCGTTCTATTCTGTGCCGCTGTTGTGATTGTCTCTGATACATGAATAAACTGATTAGATGTAGTGAAAATACTTAGTTACTTGGCACCACTAGGTAAGACACATTCACATCCCCTTTTCATTTGAAGTGCATCATATACAGTGTCTGCATCATAACACTCTAGCAGCTCTTGTAGTATGTGAGGTTCCAGAAGAATTTCAGAGGATATGAGGCCAGACTATTTGCTTAAACTTTGGCTTTGCTTTCACTGTGGATTGATCAGCGTTGGCGGCTGATGACAACGGCCCGCGAGGCTGAGAAAGCATCGGTGCATGAAGATTCGTCACAGGCCGAGGGCTCCGGTGAGGCTCCTGTGTGACTGCGCTCTGTCTGGCTGAAGTAATCACAAACACCACCATCTGTCAAACACATGTCACCGGATCATAGCTCTGCAAACAGGCCGTCGCTCAGGGTGCATGTGTGGAGACAAAATGTAACATAAATCTTCTTGTGTCCAGTCGTTCATGCTTCCATCTCTTGCCATTGCTGTTTGACAAATGTGTATAGCATTTGTATTTGTTTGCATTTTTAAACGTTGTATAACAAAAACCTCCAGCTGACTAATTTAAGTTGAAAAATATCTGTTGACATCATTATGATAAATAAGGAAAATGGAAAATGTTGGTATTATTTTAACATTTACACTGTTGCATCATGTTTATATGACATTGATGAACTTTGCAAGTTCAAATTGTGGTGTAATGATTCAGCAGAAGTATTGTACATAGATGTATCGTGTTTATACAGTGCATTTTTCGTATGTTGGATTCTTCCTGCCTAATGTGTACTGCTGTATTGAACCTTTCAGGGACATCTAAAATACCACAATACCCTTTACAGATCACTTCAATAAAGAATATTTAGAACAAGCTGCTACTTGGTTGTTAGTGAGCAAGCATTTTGTATACACATTTTAGTAGTAGTAGCAAAAATATACAATGACTGTGATAAAACACAAACAGTCTTAAAGCTGGGGTACATAACGTTTTTGTTTCATAAATACCACATGTTTGTCCATCCAGAATACATCTTGTAAAAGTAATATTGTGAACAAATCAGTCCACAACCAGCTGTCTTCATATTATTAGAAATGAAATGTACATTCTTGTCAGACAGATCCCTGGGAGTCACTATCTGAAGTTTTGCGCTGAGTGAGGGTCCTTTCCTTTTCACTTTTCTATCTGAAAAAGCTGATCTAAAGATGTGACAGAGGCCAACAATACATACATGTGACAAGAAGAGAACGACACTTTTTTGACAGCAAGGAACTAGTAACTTGCATTTTGTTATTCAAGAGTGGGATTACATATTCAAGTTTTATAGTTTGAAAGTTAGGCAACCCAGCTTTAATTCAACATCATTCCCATTTGTTTTTGTTGTTGTTGGTTGCTGATATAGCTCATAAACAGATAACAAGAACAACGTCACAATTTTCAATCAGAAACCAATCCAAAGTATGTGGTTAATATTCATCTTTAATAGCATGTTGATATACTGCAACGACAGGGAACTGTGTCAAACCTGCCTCTCTCAGATCATACTTTTGTCCGGTTGGTTTTGTACTTGGTAACACGATCAAACACAGTGTTAGACCCACATTCACGCATCATTCATGAAGCAGTGCAATGGAAAATGACAGAGCCCTTTTCACCTTTCCGAACCAAGGCAGCCACAATGTCTGATGCTACATTAGTTTCAGCATAAACCCGGGGATTTTACTTTGCCTTAGTTTATTTTCTAACACAAATGATGTCAGTTCCCAGGCAAAAACGTGGAGAAAAATGAAGCTCAAGTCGAACACATGAAATAAAATGAAATGCTGAGGCTGTTCAAACGCATGATGTGGCATGTTTGTATATCTTTATAAGCTATTTCCTTTCATTTTTTTTTCTTCAGCTCTGCTACATATACAGCATGACAAGAAAATGCGGTTGTCTTCTTTCCACTGAGAGCCAAATTCACTCATGCGCGATAAAATCTTTGGAAATTCTCAATAAACTGAATCATGCATCATAACAACAAAATAAAAACTGAAAAATTAAATCACCCATTTGCCATGGGTTTTAGGATCCTGTCCCATGCATAATTTTGAGCGTTTTGTTTTCCCCATTTAAAATATATAATTGTTTTTAATTGCTTATCAGCTAACTTTTCATCATTCATCATTTAAAAACCAATGGATTTAGATGATAAAAACAGACATACGTAATCGCTGCACTTCACCCCAGTGTGTAGTGTGTGTTGCCAGTATTTAATTTCAATTTTGTAATAATGTTACTTAATTTAATGTAAATAAATAATACATTATTAAGAAAAAACGATGATGAGCAGTTATTGTCTATACATCTGTATCTGATGGCCTTCAGTTTTAAAGATAACGTGTGATTTCAGACCAGGACGTTCAAAAGAGCAAAGGAATGACATTTAACATTTAGAAGAGCGATGTAGCTTGTCCTCAGTGTCACTGTTTTGAATGTGGTATTTACAGTTCTGGCAAGGGGTGAAGGAGAAAGCCATCAGATATTAATGCAATATTTTAGTCCCATTCTTATTGAAAGCAGGCCAACCATCAGCACAGAGGCCATGCCAAAAATGCCAACATTTGCATTACAATTAACACAAACAAGCTTTTGAAAATGACATCTCCACAAGGAAGTGTTGGTTGATCCCCCCATTTAGTTAATAGCTCTGAAGAAACAGTGACATTGTGAAATAATATATTACAGAAATAAAAAAATAGATAATAAAATGAATAAATACATAAATAAATAAGAAATTGTTATCCAAAACGTGAGCTGAGGTGTCATAAAGCTCGTCATTGGCTGTTTCTAGCTGCAGCCTTTCGCTGTGTGGAAAGCTATGGGAAACTAATTGCTTTTTTTCTCCAATCAATAAAGTCACAGTTTATACTAAACACAGCGTATGAGATGGGAGAAAAGAGCATTCATCACTTAAAAATCAGTGCAACAGGAGGACTAGTTTTGATGAAAAGGTTGCTAAGTTGATCCTTGCAAGAAGCATGAAAAGCAAAGGTTTTTTAGGCCTAGCCTTTAGTGCAAAAAGTCTGTTTGCAGTGATGTAGTTTGGCACATCTGCATTTTAGTGTCAAGTTTGAATGCACGCACACCAACAGCACATAGGCAAGTGAAATCCAATGAGATATGTATTGAGATTGCTGCTTTATAATGTAACTACATAAAATCCATAGAAACTATGGGAGTTTCTTTTTCTGCTGTGACAAAAAAGTTATAGAAATTTGTTAAAACCTAGTATAATATTCCAAAATACATGTGGAATCATGTTTATATATTTATGCATTTGATTTCCAAAGTATTTTTTCCTATCTTATCCTAAATATACACATAAAGTGACTAATTATAGCGCTTCCTCTGTATGTATATATCTACATTATGCACTAGTACTAGGTAGTGAGGTGTCCTTGCGTTTCAAGGGATTATTTACACCATACTCCGCGAGCCGCTGGGGGTCCGGTGCAAACTGAGGCGTGGGTCTGGGGGCATGAACTGGTGAGGGTGGTTGTAGGGCGGGGGAGGCGGAGGCAAAGGCGGCTGGTGCCCTCCATCAGGGGAGCGCATTGGGGTGGACATGGCGGACTGGCTGAGCTGGTGCTGGTAGTGGTGGTGTGTGGGAGACTGGCTGAAGAACGCCTCCACGCGGCTGTGTCCACTGTTGTCCAGCATGAAGACTTTGAGGAACTGCTGACACTGGTGGAGCGCGTCGGGCCGCAAGTCCACCAGGCTGACGGCGGCCTGGTGCTGCAGGGGGACTGAGTGACTGGGGGTGCTGGTCGCAGACTGCAGCTGATGCTGCCGCTGACTGAGGCCCTGCTGGAAGAGCAGCCTCCCCTGCTGGTTAAGAAGGGCCCCGCTCTCTGGGATCCGAGCCGTGCTGCTGCTGCTGCTGAGCTGGTACGTCTGAAGCCTGTTGTGAATTGACACCTAGTTTAGAAAACAGCCAAGAGAACAGCATCAAATGTTATAAAACTGGTTCCTCCTCTCTGACCCTTCAGCCCTCTTTTGTTTTTTTGGGGTGTGAATGGTGAACAGCAGACACACAGGGCATGCTCAGGTGTTGGGGTCAGTGGAAGAGCCTCTCACCCCCACATGTGCTGTGGGGGTGTATACAGATGCTGGGAATACCAGAGTGACACTGGGGTATGAAGGACTTTAGGTGCAATATTACAGCCATGGGCCGTGGTTCTAAAGGGGACACTGAGGGCCCCTGTGTCTCCCTTCCAAACCACTGAGTGGTGCTATGGTAACAGTGAACACAGGGATCAGGCCTTACAAAGAAGGATGGGTAGTGGAAGAAGAGGAGGAGGGGTGTGACCAGAGTGACAATCACAAACGTTGACAAGCAACACTCATAATAAATGCAATCCTCAAGCACCTATTCTGCTTTTTAAATTTGATAAATGCAATTATGTCTGTTGACATTCAGTTTTGCTATTTTTGTTATAACGCTAAAATAAGCTGACAGTTACTTTTTGGGGTGATTTATAGAAATGGAATGTTTCTCTTTAATGTTCATGCATGTAAAAGCATTACAGCAGTATTCCTCCTCCGCAGGTGGGGACTGAGCCCTCTTATCACTGACGTTAATCCTTGTTTGGTTAATGGCTTGCATATAACTGTTCTTTACACTCTCGATTTATTTGTTTTTTCTTGTACGCTATTTACACATTTAGACCTCTCAGCATACAATGTCTCTTTTTGAAATAAGAAAATAAAGAGCAAATAACAAGATAGCTGTTGTTCCAGCAATTTAGTTGCTAGACATTGCACCAGAAAACGTTCACATTCATGCCTGGAGTATACGTGATATGAGTGACCTCTGTTTTTTAGAGATAGATACGTTTGGACAGCTCCCCACCAACCGCTGACATTTACTGTGGACTGTGTGGCAGAGGGGAACACTGCTGTTGAAGGGAGCTCAGACAAGCATGAAGCCTGACCTAAGGTGCAAACATGGGAGAAATAATAAAAGAGCGGGCAGCCTTTAAGATAATCCACAAGATACACATGCTTTGATGTGTGCATCTCAGATGTTACTTAGTATTAAGACGGGTATTGTTATTATTACCATCATCACCCAAAAAGTCGATCCATGGATGGCCTATTGAATCAGTTTCTCTGTATTGTATTAATGCTCTTTGCTCTGTAACTTTTCTCACAAACTAATAATAATAATAATAATCAAAAATGTTGTTGCTTTTTGGTCATCAGACCCGAGCACTTCCTCTCTTCACATTTTGCTCCAGTTTACTCGTGAGTGAGAGACTTACCTGCGCAGTGGGACATGCCCTGTCATAAGTACTTACCTCCATCGCATTGAGTCCACTTCTGTCATCTACCTCCCGCTGTGCTGCAAGGAGACGTAATATTATTGTGTGAGTGTTAAATTAGGCTGTACAAGTAAATCCTTTTCAAGCATTAAACTAGATCTCTTTGTGAGGATGAGTATGAATGGTAGACTTTTCTCTCTTTCACAGCCACGGTCAGTTTGCTATGTCGTTTTTTTGTTGTTAAAATAATACTACTTATGAATCTGGGTGCACTGTGTAATTTCTTCTACTGAATATGGCTGAAAGATTGTATGTGGTGGTGTGATGGACCACTACTGTATAAGCTTGTGTTTCTGGGAGTTCCATTCTCACAATGCAGCACATGAACTGTTTAGTGACTGTGAGAAATTGTGAAAAAAGTAAATTAAACTAACAAAAAAATGAATGTTAATAAGTGCAACGCATGCATTTGAGCATATCTATATGTTTTATTAGAATGTATTGAATTTTACTTTCTTTGACTTTTTTACTATCTATGTTTATACTGTGTTAAAATGGGATCCTCTCTGCTTCTCGTCAACCAAATATTTACGTTTTTTTCAATGATGGACCCTATTTATAAGCTTCTATAGCTTCCTGTGGTGTCCATGTTCCACAGTGTCACTAAGATATGAAGACAACAGATGCGACAAGATTTGAGGACTTGAGTGTCAATTTGTGCAGACAAAAACATACACATTCAGGAGCTATGAAAACATCGACAGAGCAACAGATGCACCTGATGGAGAGGCTTGTTTTCCACGGAGCTCGAGCTGCGTTCCATTCTTCACACAGTGCGCCTTTGCCCCCTGCTGTTTTTCTAGTTCCCCTGCGCACAACACGGCCATAAATTATTTTCATACCAATGGCAAGGACCATGGCTCAAAACACCCAGGTACCAGTGCAGTGAATGCGTGGCAACCATGTAAACGGGTGTAATTTGAACCTCTACAAATGAACCGGGGTAAACAACACACTCTAAGATCTAATCAAGACTCTTAATCTCTCTATTTAAACTTCACCCTTGGTGGTAATTGCGTGACATATCCAATCACAAAGACTAAATGTCGCAACAACCTCAAAACGCTGCAGTGAGACAGACAGACATTTCCCCTTCATAATCTTCCTCTGCAAATGCGTCAAAACCCAAAAGCACTTATTTTTTTATCTCCACTGACAACCCAAGAATGTATCAACGCTGAGGTTTTCCGTAAACTGCCAGGTCCAGACGGGACATTGACACAATTCTCATATGTTTGACTCTATACATCACCACAATGAATTTCAAATGAAACAAGAACGAATAAAAAATTGAACCTAACAGCAGAAAGTTAGCATTCAATTGAAGGTATTCAAATAAATCTATGTGAACGGTGTAGGAATGGAAATTTAGAGGTATTTTGAGCATTTGTACAGCTTTCTAATGGCTTGATAATGATAGATCTAATCATGAAAACAAACAGGCACTCATTCTAACTTAGTTTTTTTTGTCAATTCAATTTTTTTGTATTGCCCTAAATCACAACAGCGGTCATCTTGGAGGATTTTGCAAAGTTGTCGATTTGTCAACAACATTATCAATTCAGACCCAGAAATACAACAATAACAAATACGTATGAGCCAAGGGTCCATAGCGAGAGGAATTACCAATGTTAATATGTTCCGCTCCGATCTTTGAAATTAGAGACAAATGCCCACAACAATTGTAGAGCGCTTTTTGACTCTGGTCTGTGAAAAGCACTATACAAATAAAAATTACTTACTTACATACTCACTTACTAAAAATCTAATCACAGTACATGGGTCAACACACATCTGGGCCATGGATCAGCATTTTGTCCCTATGCTTTTGAGCCTTCCGAAAGTGGGAGGAATTCATGAAAAACACCCTTCACTAAATGTATTAAATGTGATTCTTTTAAGTTAAAGCAGATATTGTTTGTTTCATTACAAATCCATTATGGTGGTGTACATAAAAATATCGGCAAACATTTTCCCTCTACATCCATAGCATCTCTACATTACCTCCAGGTGAATAAATAAAATATCAAATACTATAATGCACAATAAATATCTCCCCTTGAAAAACTGGAACAAAGTGAATCAAGAAATCGTTGTGTGACTAAATAAAAGAATAATGGAATAAAGTTTACATTCGATACGTATCTGCTCCATCTCCGACACCTCTGCAATGGACTCTTTTAGATCTTCAACAAATTTGAGCAGCTCCTCCGCACTCTGCGCACAGAAGTTAAAGACCTGCTTCTTGTCTGAACCAAACGGTGAAAGAATAGTGATGCCATGAGGGTAATCTGATACAAAAAAACAACACAATCATTAGACAATGGGGATTAACTTTCACTTTATTGTTTAAGTTTTTAATTTAATGATGACTTACATTCATTTTCAAATAGATGGAACTGCATGCCAAGTAGGCCCATAGCTTTGCAAAAAGTATATGCGGCAGAGCTCTTCTTTTTTGGGCATAACTTCAAAATCTGCAAACAGAGAGACAATATGCTTTAAAGCTATTGATATATTTGGCCTCAGCTTTTAAAACCCTTCTCGAATCATTGTTAATCTCAAAACAGACATGTCAGCACTAACTTCTAACTGTTTTTATATATGGTTAATGTACATTGTTTTTTTATAATTGATATTTTGTTTATAAGTATTTGTATATGTGTTTGCTTATAGGTTGACATTTTAAATCTGTTGAGGGACAATGGATGAAAAATAGACTTGTGGCTAATTCGGGTAAATTTACAGTAGTGTTTATTAATGGACACTGTTCCTGTCAAATAAACAAATAAATAAAATAAATACATATGTTGAGATAAAACAGCTGAATGACTAAATGTATTCGCGCATCGGTGTTAGCTTTGTGGCCGACCCCTCAATTAGACGGGAATTTCCAAAATGAAGTAACAACACCATACAAAAACACTGCAGTGAAGTCTTTCAAAAGGTTTGGGCTTTTTATTTTCACTGTCAGAAGTGAATGTCCCAGAGGAAGACACACATGGCCACGCTTGAAAGACCAGTTTAGAAAATTCAGCATAAAATGTAAGAGCAAAATTGAGACCCTGAGCAAAGAGGTTTGAGTTTTGGCTAAACTTTATTGTGTTTGTCTTACTTAAATGCAGTAGTAGTGAGTAAATCAGAATACACCGTGACAAAAATCACACCATGTATAAACAGGAACACATTACCTAATCCCTCCACAATTCCTTTAATAAAAAAAGCCTGAAAGATTTCTTTAGTTTATCTATTTAATCTGAGACAGTATACAATGAACTATCTCACATGTGGCCATACTTTCATGTAAAACCCAGATACTGTAAGATCTCTACAGCTGTGCAGGGAAAAGCCTGGTTAGTACTGTGATGGGAGACCTCTGGGAACACCAGGTGCCACAGTGGGGCTGCTATAAAGTGCCAAACTGTAGCTGTGTCCTTACGTTACAGTAACATTGCCTAAAATGAGTCTGAAGTGCATGTGAATGGTGATTGGAAGAACCGGTGGCATGTACTGGTTGCCGCGCTTCTGGCCACCGTGTGTGGAGTGAAAGAAAAATGACATCAAGCGTCTCATCTTTAACATTAACCTCAAAGGCAAAGCACTGTACCACGTTATAGCTCAAGAACTCATTTCCACCCATTGTCCTTGGCAGATGTGACTTATGAAACATCTTAGTTTAGACAATGGTGTAATGTAAAAATGCCACAGTCACTAAAAAATAAGCTTTGTGTCGTACTGTTTAGAGTTCCTTGAGATGGTAAAAAACTCAGAGGTATACGCACCACAATTAGATCGTTGAAGAGGAAGACTTCTCTCTGGTGTGCCGCTTGTTTCTGGGGTTTGCTGACATCTGTCACCTCAAACAGACGACTGCAGCACACCAGTCTGCGGTGCGGCACAGACAGCACCTGCACACACGGGGGCAGGCGTTTAAATAGACCAAACATGAATTATGCAATTAATAACAGTGAGAGGAACAAGCTGAATGTGTAGCTTATTGGCGTCAACACGGTGCATGGTACAAACACTTATGCATACAGTCAGGAAAGGTTTGATGTTGCATGTTCTCCCTGTTTGCATGTTCTCCCTGTGTCGGCAAAGCTTCCCTCCAGGTGATCCGGTTTCCCCTACCACTACAACCATGCGCAATAGCCCCTGTAACTCCATCACACTCACTGAAAAAGGGATTCTGTAATCTCAGTACGTCAACTAAAATCAATGAAACTCAATCTTGTGGAATTTATTGTGTCAGCTGAAACTTTAAGCAATTATTTACAATTAACATCAAGTATCACAGCAACCCACATCCAAAACTGTCTCTTAAGCTTGAAAAGAAACACTATTCAGTCCACTGACATGAAGATTTAAACTTGAAGAGTATAGAAATACAAAAAAGACCACTTGGACTTTTTGGCAGATTGCTCTTATGGGCAGGAACAGTCACTTCCTGTTACAACAATCCATCACAATTTGGCTCCGACAGCCCTCTCTGTCATCATTTGACCACTCATCCGTCAAACAGGAGCACTTAAGGAAGCACACACACTAAATTAAAGGAGGAGAGCCTAAAGACGTCTCAATGCCATGACATAAATAATTACAGGAGCATTTTGGCTTCTATTTGTGTGAATTAACTCTGGAAATTAGGCAGAGTTTGTTTATGTTGGATATCCCCGAGACACGAAAGAGAAAAATACAAATGTGAAAATAGCATAAATAAAAAAATCCTTTAATGAACAGAGATTTTTCAACGCGTTTCGGCCACACAAGGATTTTTATTCTATTGTTTTTAAGAAGAAGAAGAAGACAAAGAAGAAGAAGAAGTCATGGTTGTCATTATTAGTTCCAGTTTTATTTTGTATTAACTGTTCTTCTGTGTCTTTTGGTGTATTTACGTTATTTTATTAATAAAATAAATACATTTGATTGTAGTGTTTGTCCACTTGTGTCAATGCATCGTTCCATACGTTTAAGCCTGAGTCAGTTTGAGAAGTGCAGTGACAGCTGTGTAATGCTGTGTGTGTTCAGGAAAATAATTGCACTTGTGATGAGACATTTAATGGCTAATAAATAGTCTTTGATAGCACTGCGGAATCTCGATGCATGATTACAACTTGAATAATGAGAATATCACTTGCCTTGGAGCTTGCTGCTTTGGTATTCAACAACATTCATATTTATGCTTGAGTTATTTATGTACTTTAATGAGCAATTTTAAATATACAAAACAGCTCATTGAAGATGTTGTGTTGTCAAAAGTTTGTATAAAATAAGGACATTTAAAACTTTAAACATCACTTCAATATAATCTTGAAATAAGTATGAATACAGCAAACAAAATAAATACGTACAACACACAACAGTAATCTGAGAGTCTTGGTAAGGATTGACCTAAATCTTCTTTCCTCTTTAGAAATTTCCAATTTTTTTATTTTGTTATGAATATATCTGCTTATACAAGTATTTGGGCTTGGTGGATTAATACCATTTAGAGTTTTATTATTTTTTTTATCACAAGAGGCACTATTTTTTTTATAATATTGCTTATGTTACTGTCTGACATTTCCAGTGTTTTTTTTAATGTTTTTTTTATGCCTTGTGCTGCTCAAACGAATTGCCCCTGGTGGGATAAATAAAGTAGTTTGAATCTCAATCTGAATGGGTGTTTTTTTCCACAGTATATTTTGTTTATTATGTTGAATATACAAGTTTAGAGAGAAAGATCTCCGTCGCACTTCTAATAAATTATTTTTATTTTGCAAGTAAGACGGTCTGTGGTTTCACATTAGGCTTTACAGGCCTCTCCTCCTACGCAGCCGATCTGTAGGTATTGATGTGCAAATCCCTACTCCAGTCATTTAGGAATGTAGAAGTTTGAAATGAATGAATAAAAAAAAGGATGAGTTCTTACCGTTTTCATGCCCACTATGGACAGCTCCACTTTGGAGACGTAGGTGACGTGGTCCTCGTTGGATCGTAACTCCCTCAGCTGGATGCGCTCATAGATTCCCACCACCATGTCTCTGGGGATGTCTGCCCCGTCGTCCACACCTGACACACAGTAACAGCACAAGGAGCACGTTCATGAGGACAACATCAGGTGGGATCTGAGGGAGCCATGTCAAATCAACTGCTATAGAACAGATGGAAAGCACGTGTGGCTTATTGGTTTAGTGCAACATCCTTATATTGTCTGGTCAGGGATTTTACACGGCACCACAGCTTGTTGGGATTTGCAATGCTCCCTGGACAATAGTTACTTGAGGAAATAAATCAAAGGTCATGTGTAAAACAAGTATTATGATTCTAAAATTATTAATGGCAAAACAAGGAAGAATGAGGATTTCTATTGCGATTGGCTTTGTGAAAAAGGTGTTGGTTATAGATTTGTAGTTGACAAAACTCAAAGTTATTATTTTGGTCCCAGCTGGATTCGTCTGCATACTTTGGCAAACAGAGTCAGGGGATGCGTGCAGTACCACTTATGGCCAGATGTTTAAATATTGCTCCTTGAAGTTTTTATCCTTTGTAGAAAATAAGACAAACAATTTAAATAATAATCAATTATTGTAGTTCTTAACTTTTTGTTATTTTGATTTAAGATTGAGAATAAATGATTATTTAGGATATTGCTCTTCAGAAGTGTCTACAGCCAATTCTCAGTCAGAATACACCCTTCTCATTGAACACAAGATCACAGACAGTTCAAATGTTCTAAATGATTCAACGTCTCAAAAAGGTTGGCCAAATCTGAAACTCTGGTGCCACTTTCATTTCAATTATTTGGCGTTGAAATTTCCTTTGCATAACTGTACATAAATAACAGTTTTTAGTTGTTGTTTTGCTTGAATGTGTATAGGAGCTATATGAGCCCTCTGGACACATAAAAACAGTGATTTTTTTTGGCTTCAAGCAGAACACAAAGCAATAATTCAAACACAACAGAAATGTATGATGAATATACCAGGATTTTCTCATATTATTGCAATATTGATACCATGAAAATACACAAAGATGCCCTGGTTTAAATATGTAGTAGTGTACATGGCATAAGTATTCTTTCAATAACACAGGCTACGTTTATCCCCATTGCACCAGTGTTGCCCTGAAGATGCACCCCATTATATATGTGCGCTACATTGACTTGTTAATGATTCAGGCTGTGTGCGGGGAAAATGAAGCTGTCAAAATCATGTGGGCTGTTACTAAGGATTACTTTAGCATGAGGCCAGAGGGTAGTGCGTGTTTAGGTTGGAAAGTAGCACTCTCATTTGGCTTTTTGTCTTAGCTTAGCAATAAAAAGGATCTGGTAACTAAGGCAATGCATTTCTAATAAGCAAGTTAAGTGGATAAAGCCTTCTTGAATATCATTAGGGCTTTGTGGATGCTTGTGACATGATTTAGTTTGTTTAATTGAGAGAATAAAATAAATATTCCTTAATTGATATTGATTTCTTGCACCAAATAGTATTTCAACTCAATCAGATAGGGCAGTGAACTTGTCAAATCTGGGCTAAAAGAAAAAACACGTTTCAATGTTGTCCATTAAAACAAGATAATACAGACATGAAGAAGCGTAGGCGGGGATCCTCCCATTGATCTGTTTTAGCTTGATCTAATTGTGGCAAACAGTCAAGAGGCATACAAATGGTTGTGCATTGACCCAGGTTTTCTCATTGAGTGTACAAGCAGAAAGCATCATTTATCTCGTTTGCAAACACCATAATGGATGCAGTCGCAGAATCCCACGATCAGATTTCATGCTTTAGCAGGGTATCGGCACAGCGTATGTCTGAAAAGGCATCAGTGATAACACTCAGCCCAGTATTTTTGAAAGCTCTAGGATAAGATAATAAATGTTATATTATTCATTCTACTAGTTTCATTATTATATCACCTGAAGCGGTAATACTAGTGGTAATTATAAGGATATAGTTTTTTCTGTGCATGTGAAGCACTGGGCAGCTTGTGTTGTGTTAAATGTGCTGTAAAAATACATTTGACATTGACAAAATAGTAAGGATACTTGTACGCGTAAATACTTGGTGCGTATTACATTTGTAATATGTTATGCATGCTAATTTTGTGAAAAGTATACAAAATCTAAATACGAATCTTTAATAAAACATTGAAACTGAAATTGAAAAAGGTTGAGTGTTGATTAAGAAATAGTTTTTGACCAAAGAATAAATAAACAAACTAGTGTAACTTACAGACAGCAAACCTGGCCTTAGCTTTTATGCACAATCATTTCCTTGAAGGGAGATTGATCACCTCGTAAGTTGCGTATAAAATCCTCCAGCAGCATCTTGCGGTCGGGTTTGATGTTGGGGCTGTACATGTCGGTGTTGAGGAGGATGATGGCGAAGGCCAGGATGAAGATGGTGTCCGGGTTGTGAAACTGCTGCACGATGTCTGGGTTACACATGCAGTAGCGCTGGCTGCAGGAACAAACCCACAAAACAAAGAAGAATGGTTTATAATTAATAATAAAACGTTGACAGCTATCACACACAAACATCCATTTACGAGTGGATAAAGAAGTGGATCAAAAAGGTCAAATGAGAAAGAAGGACAGCTGTACGGTATAAATAAATATCTAAAGGCTTTTCTCATTAATATAGAGTTTTCAGAGATAACCTTTGAGTTTCCATTTGATTCGGGATGTACGTTATAAAGCTTGGGTTATTCCAGTTTTATAGAAAACTGAAACATGTAATACAAGTTTTTTTAAATTAAATTATAATTAAGTTCAATTCATCAAAAGTCTCATTGTGCTTAAAATGAGTTAATACTGGACTAATTAAGACAATATGAAACTTTTTTGTAGTATGCCTTAAAGCTGTTTCAGAGCTCTAAATTATATAATGGCCAACAAGATCATTTGGTGTTTGGAAAGGAAATAAATTTAATCTAATTAATTGCAGTTTTGGGAACAATTGTGAACGTAAAATGATGAATTGTGCAGCCCCATCAGGCAGTGGAAAAATGTTTGAGGAAAAACAGGTTATTACCTCATTTATATTTGTATCTTGTTTGTCCAAGATAAACATTAATCCTTATGTTGATAGTGTATAAAAGTGTATTTTTCTTCATTTAAGTTAAATTCACAATATTTGAAAAAACTCCTGAGCCCTCTTTGACCACTATGGGACCTTTATAGCTGGTCTTTGGGTTTATTAGACTGTTACTATGCCAGAAAGAATATGCATAAAGTTAGAAACTCTATTTCCGAGGACTTTGACGTCTCAAGAGACTGAAGTGAAACTTGATGGTGTTCCTCAAACTGTTATAGCAGTTGTTATACCTATAGCAGATATATATGAGGTGATGTACGTCTGCTTTATTACTGTGCACAGTGGGGAGAGAGATAAATTGTGCCTTGTTAAAATGCATGAGGTCTTAGTTGAGGCATAAACAAAACGTAACAGCATGGACTGGAGAGTAAATGACTGGATTCGGATCCAAGAGAATGCTGTCAGAAAATGTATTACCATAGCGCCCCCACATCACAGTGCACGATGTATTTCATTTCCACACCTCAGTAACAATACTATTTTTGTTAATCATCAACAAGCCGCCACACTGGTCTTCATACCAACGCATAAAGAGGAGTAGGTGTATAAGTTGTGTTGTACAGAGAGTAACATTATTAATGGGAATTAAGGCTTAATCATGTCTCAGGATGACACTTCAGCTGTCAGAGGAAGGCAATTACACAGTTGCTTTGACGCCCACAGGAACACCTCTTATGTTGCACACCTGAATGCTCTTGGCCTGAGATATACATGAATCTATAATGAGAGGGTACATGAGAGTGAAGGTATTTGTTTGTTCACATTTGGAAAGGCCACTAGTATGTGGCCTTGTCCCCTCCAACTACCAGAAATCCTCACACATACTCACACACCAGCCTCATGCTCGGCATTGTGGGTTTAGAGTTTTTCCTAAAAACAACAACAGTTTGGCACTTTATAGCTGCAGACGCCCCAGTGTCTCACCGGGTGCTACCAGAAGTCTCCCTTCACAGTGTTAACCATTCCCTGCCCTTCTGCTTCTGAGATCCAATGGGCTCGGGCCTTCACATGCACTATTTAACTGATTTAAGCAATCTTTTATGTTCGACAATGTCATACCCGTCAAGGACAATCTTTTGAAAATATTTCATTTTTTTATTTTTTTATTTTTTATTTTACAACTGATGATGAAGCATTGTCATTAAAAACAGCACAGTCACCACACATTGATCCAGAAGCTTCTGTAGTATATAGTAAAGTATGTTATAGTTATGTTTATTATTTGGTTTATATGTGATTTACTATATTACCAACATGTTGAACATTGAACAATCCATATTTAGGTATTATTTCTTTGCAGCTCTACAAAAGTCCGTCGCTTTCACTTTTGGTATGTTAGAGCTGAATGTATTTCTATTCTAATTTTAGAGGCATCACTGCTGTCACTGGTAGTATCCGTGTTCTATGTGTATTATGTGTGTGCATGGAGACATATCAAAGCCCAGCAGCAAAGAGGCAAACACTGAGGCTGTGACGATTATGCAACTGGGGTTATTTATATCTCACGTCCCTTGTTCTTTCCCTCGTTTCCTTATATCCCTCCTTGCTTCCCTTTCTCCTCCACCTTCTTTCGCTGATGCCAACACACAGAGCTAACCTGATGTCCAAACAGTAGCAGTCCCAGCACACTCTGCATGACAGTGATGAGGTTTTCTCCTTGTTGGGCACCTCCACCACCATGACAGGTGGTTGTTAGGCTAGAGGGGCGGACTAAACAGTTTGCACGAGCACACGGAGCCGCAGCTGTTACTGGTGAGATTCAATAACATTGCCAAGAATGAAGGAAAGCAGTCACAAAATGTAGAGTTATCTGTTTGACAACTGAAGGATTTTATAGATTATAGATACTCTTTTTTTATGCATAGTGGCTATTTACTATTTTAATCCTGTGTGTGTTTTTGTTTTTAATTACTTGTGATTTATTTCTGTTTTTAATGTATTATTATTACTATTATTATTTATATATGTATTATTATTATTATTATTATTATTATTATTTTTATCATTATTTTTATATGTAAATGTAGATTTTAATGTTTTTGATTTGCTTGATATGATGTGGGTTGTGAGGCGCTTTGAGTTGCCTTGTGTTGGAAAGGCGCTATACAAATAAAAGTTGATTGATTTATTGATAATGATGCACTTTTACTTTGGACAAGAGCAGAAAAAATTATCCGAATCAAGCAGGTACTCCACCTTTTTACCTGTCCTGCTCCACCCAGAAGCTACTCCACCTCTGCTGCTGTGACCTAAAGGGCTGTTGCTGATTATTACTATTATTATGTTTTTAGAATGACCAATTATATTTTTATTTTTGCTGCTACTGGACACCTGAATTTCTCCTACGGGGATCAATAAAGTATCTACCTATCTATCTATCTACTTCCATTTATACTGTCATGTGTTTGTATAGTTTAATCTTGTTGTTCATGATAATCACCTGAAGGCCTCAATCAACCGTTCCACCTTCTGAGCTTCTCCTTGAACTCGAATGTGAGCCTGAAATTTCCTCAGCGCTTCATCCAGCTCCATGCCCGAGAAGTCCATTTCATCCACGACACAGCTGCAAAAAAGGGAGAAATAACACATTGAACACATTTTATAATAAAAAAGTATATATCTGTCTATGACCAATGTGTACAGAAATGCAAAATCTATTAGTCTAACTTGATTTGAAAAAGTATTGAGAGATTTCACACGGGCTTCTCGAGGTGCTGTCATAGAAAAAGTGTGCTTACTTTGTTGTTTCATGATGAGTTTGATAATACGGCACAGGTATTATCGAGGCTGCTTAGAATGTCTGAGTTCCACAGAGCAGAAAATCTATCCATTACCTGGCAACCCCTAAGCTTGACAGTTTTAATTAAAAAAGTGCTAAATATGCGATCTGATGAGGGCTGAAAATACAAAGTGTGCTGTTACACGGTGAATTCAGGTTTAGTTAGAAGCTAGATGACTTTGAAAGCGACATTCAGTTTGGGAGTAAAGTTAAAAGCTTTGATATGAGATTTAGCGTGGAAGCAGAAAGTGCTACGGTAATCAGATTTAAAATTAAAGTTGGTTAAGAACACCCAGGTAGCCTTTCAAGCGCCGTTTCATGTACCGCCAAACTTAATTTAACTAATGCGCCTTCTACAACACAGGATTACAAGACTTTCTTTCCTTCTGTGAAATTGGACCTTGATTTTGGTCTTTGTTGGATGACTCAATTCCTGGTCTACACTAGTCCTGACTTGCAGCTCCAGGGTCCCCAGTAGCTCAGCACCCCTCTGAAGTAGACCCCCAAAGGATTTAGAAGTTACATGTATTAAGATGTATTATTTTCAAATTGTATTATTCATTGCTATTTAAAGGATATCATATCAGAATATCAAAAACTAGCCTGTGATATGTGACTGCTTACTGATTTTGGCCTTTTTAAATCCAGGCCCAAAATGTATTTATTCAGACTGGATTTTAACACTTTTAACACTCATCAGCGCGGTGGCCATTTTTTTATGTTTTTTTTAATACTTGTGATTGCATGAATGGAATCAAAAAATGTATCGTATGTGATTATATTTTTAAAGAACTTTGGTTGCCTTGAGTGTTATAAAGGGCTCTATAAATAAAAATGGATAGAATTGATTTAAAAACAGTATAATCTACAATAATCTATCTACCTTATCTAAGGCTATATCTCATCCTTATATTGACTCAATATCTTTTTATTGATCTCTCTGTCATATTTTTTCCAAAAAAGTAGCTCTCTGGAGGAAAAAGGTTGGAGACCCTTGATTTGGAGAAACACGTCAATCTCAATCTCTGCTACTTTTTTCCAGTTATTTGAACTTTTTGGCCTAAATGTCAATGAATAGCACACATTCCTGATTTTTGTGCGAAGAGCAGAGAAAGAGTCGACACAGTGACATTTTAGGAAAATTTGTTTTCCTAAAATGTTTTTTATGTGATTAGGGCCAGAACAGAGTTTATTGACTTATTATTTTGATTCAAGTTTTAGTAGGGATGGGACGCACATTTATTGTCAAAAATAGATTGGATTTACCAGAGTGCTTTGATCATCACCAGAGCATTAAAACACCTTGTCATTAAATCCTGTCCATGTAAAACTTATCTATTGGTTTTGTTTGGCTCCAGCAGTTGTGTGCTTACTGCTGTGATACTGTACATTACAACGTGAAAACCTCAAGTGTGGCCCATATGTGGACAAACTATCGGGTGTAGTTTATATACAGTCACTAGTCCTCTGCAAGACATGTATTATTGTCAAAAATCTTGCACTATATTACAATTAAAGACAAAACCAATTGCCGCTGACACCTGCTCTGCCATGATGTGAATATTTATATTTAGCCGTTTATGTCTTTGTCTCAGTTAAGGCAAACAATGAGTGTAAAGCTCTTAAAACATGATACAGAAAAATGTAATGTTTCCATCTTCTAGAAAAGTCATATTTCTTGTCTAGTAAACTGATAATGTTATGTTTTTTTTGTATTCATGCTTAGGTTGAGATACTCCATCAATGTTTAACGCAATATCAGTTGTATATGAATAAATACTGTATTCTCAGCAGTACTTTTGTGACTTTGTAGTGTGTGTAAATAAAGTCAGTATCGGTTGTTCTCCTGCCTGTCAGCGATGCAAAGCTTAAATTGTAGGTTTAAAAAGTCTTTGTGGCAGCGACACGCAAACACACACCTACTTACAGAACATTTAAGCCAGATGGAGCCATATCCCAAGCAGCCAATCAGAAGATGACAACCTGGCGGGATATCTGGTTTAAGCACTAAGCTATATGAGTCGCTGGGGGAAAATATTTCTTGAAGATTTTGTCAATAAATCTCTAATGAGTCCTGTCCTTTGCACCTCTCAGCACTTTATCGCTCCCACATTATACTTTTGTTAAATCAAATTGAAAAGGTGCAGCTCTGGCTCACCTCTGCGGGGGACATAAAGCTCCTATCACAAGTGTCTTATAACAAAATGAATGTATTTGACAAGAGTGGGCGGTAGACTTCATGACACAGGGTTTTTCAAAGTGTCAAAAGTCCATCTCAGATATGTGCTGTATTTACAAAGCAAATGTGGGTTTTTTTGAATGTTTTTTGTGAGGGGTCATAGTACCAAAGTTTGTTGATGCCCAGTACTGTTTTGCTTGCATCCTTTTTTTTCATTAAATAAATATTACTAAAACATTTTACTTACCCACATGATGTGTACTTTTAACAAACTGCCAAATTAAGACCAGAAAGTAGACTGCACTAGTACAACTGAAGGATTTTATCTCTATTTTTTAATGCTCTGCGGACATTTATTATTTTGAAAAATTCTGAAAAACCTGCACAACTATTGACACTGTTTCTTGATTGCCACTTTTTTAATTGCCACTTTTTGTTGTACATAATATATCCTGCATTTAACATGTTTGCACATTTTTTTCTTTTGCACAATCATGAGTGATTCCGTGCCAGATGTGACATGTACATTTCTCCTGTGTGAGATCAATAAAGCCTCTCTTGTCTTATCTTATCTGTTGTTATGTTTTTACCTGTGTGATTTTAATAGTGTTTTTATGGTTATCCTGGTGTTTGTTTTATGTGATGATTTGTGTGATGTGGACTGTGAAGGAAAGACAATCTTTAAATACAGATTGATTGATAGATAGTACTGATGCATGTTTAAACAAGAATAATGTCTACTTGTCATCTGCTGATACACCATACCGAGGTTTTGCAAGTCTTGCTTTCCGGCTGCTGTCAGATGGTAAAACAAAAACTGCTATCCTTTGTAAATACTGCAATCATGTGAAATCTACATACTTATCTATGTATATTTTGTGTGTTCCTTCTGCACTGCAATCCAAAATGTCCCCACTGTAGGACAAATAAAGACTTATCTTCTATCATTAGTCCCCTAGCAATGGTAAATATATGCAAAATCAGCACTAACCAACAGCAACATAATAATAAATTATGTATTGTAATCTCAGCCTTAAAAGGTGAATTCTGAACCTCACTGTTAACCCTTTAATGGTTTCCTGAACTATTGCTAGACCACCATTTGAATCACAATCTACTTGAAGCATCCTTGGAACTGAAATATACCTCTTTGGGGCATCTCACTTGGTTTAAGACACTTCTACCATCAAACTGCATCTCAACCATTTGGTAAAGGCTCATCATTTTTCTTTTAAAAACAAAAAAAACATGGGGGTTAAAAAAAAGTGTTTTTTGTGCTCCTACATCTTAGAAAATCCCCCCCTCCATAAAAAATACTCTTCTATGAGTGAACATTAAAGAGCTAAAACACAAAAGAGCACTTTCACATCATGCACGTCTTCACAACATCACTTCCACTTGAGCACTTGTTTGAACACTCCCTGCTCACAAAGGTATAATATAAGTCTAAGGATGTGCCACACAGTGTGAAGGGAGTTTTGAAGCTGAAAGCATAATGCTGTTCCAGTCCAGGGGGGGTGAGGCTGAGAGCTGTCTCGTGTCCTGTGACTTTGAGAACAGAGAGCAGGTGAGGTGTTGGGACAGCCCGCTAAATGGCACAATCTAATCCAGCGAAAAAAGAATCACGGTTAAAAGGATTATGGGAGTTACGGATGTTGAAGGACAAAGATTCTTCTTGGCTCAAAGCAAATGACAGTCATTGAGTTGATGACCGAGAAGAAATGTAATGAGTCACATATGATACGCACAAAGCTGTGGGTGACGTTTCGAGGAGTGCGTTCCAAGTCGTACAGCCGTCCAGGTTTTCTTTGCATTATGGATGACTAATGTAGGGGCATTACAGTGCGCTCATCATTTCTGCATTAAAAACTAATGACTTATCGAGCAAGACTTAAAAGACACACGTATATTTAGTTTTAGAGTAAAGAAAATGGTTGTTAACCCTTTACCATTCACTTCTTGAGGAACAATGTAATTCTTTCTTTTTTTGATTTTTTGAGATGTGGGAGCACTAATAACACACATAATTGTTTTAGTTTTTTTTTTGACCCACTATTTTTTTTTTTCAATTACAGGCCTTTACCAAATGGTTGAGGTGCAGTTTGGTAGAAAAAGTGCCTAAAACCAAGTGAGATGCCCCAAAGTGGTATATTTCAATTCCTAGCTTCAAGTAGATTTAGTGATTCAAAAGGTGATCTACCAAATGGTTGAGAATTTTTATTTATTTATTTAACTTTTATTGAAGATATTAGTTTCAACAAAAACATCCATTCCATGATTACTGTCAGATTACTTACACGTGAATTCTTGACTTCCAAACATCAAAATAACCTAGATGCATGTGATGTGTTTGTGTAGTTAATTATATATGAGTGATGGGATTCTTGCCCTGGACCTATCCCCAATCAATTCTGTGGTGCCAATTCTGCAGCTGCTGTTGCAATTTTGGGCAATAATGAATACATTCAACTGAAAGTGAATATTTTATAGAACGCAATAGTAAATAAAAAACCACTCACTCAAGCACATCTCTGTTGAAGGGCTTCTTGCTGTTTCCCAAGAACTCCCCAATCATCTGTCGGCTGAGGCCCTTCCTCTGCAGCAGGAAGTGAGCCACACCGATTGGAGTGTCCGGGATGAAGCCTCTGGAAATCAGAAACTGCAGCCCTTTGTCTGGGTTTCTGTGGGACCAGAAACAACATGAGAAAAGAGATACAGTATAGACGCTGTGAGTTCAAGATTAAAGCGAGGCTACCTAACTTTTGTCTATTACATTATCTTTGTCCCAACAGAAAAAAAGTAAACGGCTGTAAACAAATGAGACCACAACATGCTATTAGAAAAATATTTTTAGCAAACTTGTAATCTTTAGCAAACTCTGGGCTGCGATCTGATTGGCTGAGCATGTATTTGTGACATAGGCCAACACATACACACATAGAATATAACCAACTTGTTTTGAGAGCAAGTACGAGCAAGTTAGATGTTATTATATAGTTTGGTTGTTTGTGGTTTGAAAGTCAGGTACTTAAGCTTAACTTAAATTATATTCTTCCATAATATATCAACAATACAATTCACAAACAGTTCTGACAGCAAGATACTGAGGGAGGAGGCTATCAAACAATCCAGTTTATGGAAGTTTCAAAGGGAGGAGTCAGAAGGACAAGGCTTTGTATAAAATGTTGTTAGAAATGTGACATGTCTTAGAGCTTTAAGGTTCTTCCACGCCACTGCTTTCGGAATATTGCCTTAACATCTCATTGACTTCCATGAATTACTTATCATAAACAAATACTTCACTCTAGTGCCTTCTGCAGTGAAGACAGTTTCAGCGCGGTGCATTTAGATACCTGCTTGTATATTCACTATTTTTAATACCTAAAAAAAAGAGATGCTCCAGGGACATACTCCATTAGTGCCTCAAGCTTTTGCTACATACAGAGCTTAAAAAACCCTTACGTAACAGGGCAGTTTGTGCACTGCTCTAATGGGCTTACTAAAGGGCTGGACACAGGGAGAGAGAGGACAGTGTGACGTCCAGGGCAGAACCGAGGCTTGGAACAGGACCAAACAAAGCAGATGTTTGGAAACAGAAATATAGAGACATGAGGGAGTCAAGAAGCAGCTGCCAACACAATATGGCAAAATCTCATTTCAGTAAGAGCCAATGGGAGATGCATTACATTAGGTATACTTTATTGTCCCTGTAGAGAAATTACACCGTATTACTTCTCATAAGTGATGTTTAAAGGAGCCGTATATTTGACATCTAAAATGAAACCTATAGTCAGGGTAGTACTGACCAATCTCTGGGTTCAAAGCCTTTGGGAGAGAATTGTCATATGTTGAATACAATCGCACGCCTGACCACAATATGGCTTTTGGAAAGACAAAACTGTACCCATGTGTGATCAGTGAGTGCGTGTGTGTGTGTGTGTGTGTGTGTGTGTGTGTGTGTGTGTACAGTATGTAAGCTCAGTATCAGCGTGTGATCTGGAACAAATGAAACTGAAGAATGGCGGCTGGGTAGCTTCATTAAAACTGTCTGATGTCTGATAGTGTTGTTTTCCTGCTTTAACCTGGTTCATCTCTCCTTTTGGCTCATGTTTATTTTACACCGTCCCTGTAAAATATGAAATCATACCATCTTTTCCAATTCCCCTTCTATTTTTTTTCTTCTGCAAATCTAGCCCACTTTATTGCACAACTTTGGTCAAATAACTTAAACATATTTCTTGAAGCAACCTGTTTAAAATGCAGAGACTACACCAGCTCAGGAATTAGGAGGAGGATATGAACTGGTGGAACTAATAAGCCTCCAGCCTTTCTTCCCCACCACATGCGCACACACATGTCAGCTCTCCTTTTACGTGCTATCTCAAACCTCTTTTAGGCCAATTCATTAAATCAGAGCTTAGCTGAAAAGGTGTTTGATGACGAGGATGGGAAGTATGATTGCAGATAGACAGAATTTATAATAAAAAAAAAACAGAGTTCACAGCTATTCTCCTTTAAGAAAGCTCTAAGGTGAATCAATAAATAACATTATGTTGTAGGACTTTTGATAAAGAACAGGTCTTAATGTTGATTTATAACTAATTTGCAAGGTCTAAGAGCCTTGTTACAATTTCATCCACATTGTAATAACAATTATAATTCCTGCTGCTGCTCTTCAATATTGAGCCTGTGACTAATCAACTACAAGCGCAGTACAATTAAAACGCTTCTGCAATATTGAGGAATATCCGTGCTTACAAAATAGTTTTGATACACGGCAGGTTATATGTGTTTTAAGTGTTTGTTATCATTTTGGTTATCATAGCTTACAATACATTTTCAAAACATTCAAATTTCATGAGATTTTTATTTGCTTTTTTTCCAAGCTGTGATCCAATTAGGTTAAAACAAATATGATATACCTCACTTTGCATGTAATGAGGCTGCCATATTTTAGTTTCACATATGAAGTTGAACAACAGAAGAAAAAAGTGCTTTTGAACAATATTCCAGTTTTCTGAGTTTAACTTGTATTGATGTAATGTGCTGTGAAATTGTGTTTGAAATAAATCATTTAACTTAACTTACTTAAAGCCTTACCTTTTCCCTGCCCAGTCCCCTATAAATCAAAAAGTACCGCAAACTCTGGCGAATGGATGTGTATTCAACTTGTTCTCTGCAATCGCAACAAAGAACTTTTAAACATTTGCTGGATCATAAATACTTGCAAAAATAAGTGAATTTGATACTCCCTAAATCACCGAGACAGGGGCGGTACAACAAGAACACAGCATTAAGCATGACGGACCTTGAAACGCTGCTGTGTCAATGGTAATTTATACAGTGCAATTCTATTACTGCCTCTGATAGCATCTTCCATCTCGCTTATTGATTTTCTGCACTGACATCTCTTTCTGGGGAAAAAAAAACCAAAGAAGGCACCTCAGACGATCAGGGAGCGGGGCCTGGTACTGTTTGTTCTGCAAGCTCAATGGGGAGCGGTGAAGAAAAACGGTTTGGCTTCAAGCACGGGGCCAGAGGCATCCCATCAAACTTCAAGTATGGCCCCAGAGAGATGGGCGCGTGAGCACTGAGCAAACTACACTTCTGCGGATGTCCTCCTGCCACGCTGAAGATATGAGAGAAACACAACAGGAAAACAACTACTGCAACGCTAAAAGGCAACACACAAAGACCGTATGTGTGTGAAGATGCAGAACTTGCAGAAGTGAAAAGTAAAATGCCTTTTTTTTGAGAACCTTAAGAGTTCCAGTTGACAAAATGAAATGAAGTGCTTGTATTTTGTAGTATGCTCAAGATTTATAAATGATTTTTGCTTTCTGGATGATTCCTGGTCAACTCACGATAAGTCCCATCCAACTATTTGTATACACATTTGTGCTTGTTGACACACCCAGGAGGACATTTCAGAGATGTTTTGGCCATATTTCAGAAATTATGAATGGTAGCAAAGATTTTTTGACTCATTCTGTCATATTTTCAAATAAGCGTGACTTCAAATGATAATACCAACAATATACAACATCTCAAATGGTAGCCACTCCTTCTTCTGAAGCCGCCTTGCCTTGAACGGCACATTTGAGAAAATAAAAACATGTTTATTTGGTGATAAATGTTTGTGTAAGCTCTCAGTCATACAGGGATTGTTCAAAATAAAGGAAGGTTGCTCAACCACCATCCGTACATCCGACGTTTCGTTCTTTCCATCTCCTTGAGTGAGTTCTTTGGATTAAGAAAAAAAACGTCGGAAAATCTGCTAACTGAATTGCAGATATGGGTGAGGAACCTTCCTTTGTTTTGGCGATAAATAGCTTAACAAAACCACTAACAAGGAGTAAAAAAAAACAAAAAAAAAAGGTTTTGTTATTGCTCATGATCTCCAAAATATGGCCAAAACAAAGACATTTCTGCCTGGGTTAACAATATATGTGTAGACTTTCAAGCACAACTTGAATTGATTAATGACTATTATATGATCACATCAGCTCTGGCCCCATTACCCTTTGTGATGGCACTCACACATTGAAGAGGTTGAGCCCGATGCGATACAGGCGCTTCCTCATGATGTCGGTGGACAACGTGGGCGACTTGCAGCTGGTGGGGTTCTCACAGTGGTAACGGGGCAGACTCAAGATCATGGCCTGCAGCGCCTCTTTGGATGAAGCCTCGGACGTGGAGCGCGCTTCTGTGGACGCGCTGCTGCTGCTCATCTGCTCTGAACTGTTATCAGCCATCTCTGAGCTGCACCTCTGCACCCCCAGCGTCTCCATGGCGGGAGAGTGCCCTGGGACGGCCTGCAGGTGCGCGCTTGTACTTGGAGGAGGCTGTGTGGGGGGTGGTGGAGGTGGGACTGGGATTTCATCAGCTGGAGGGATTTTATCTAGAGGCGTGAGGGGCGGTTGCTCCAGCTCTTCTTCGCTGGGCGGTGGAGCGGGGAACTCCACGTCTTGTTCGCCGATATCGGCTATTTCTGTTTCAGGGGGAGGGGGTGGAGGTTCTTGGGGCAAGGGTGCCGGGACAGTCGTTTTCACTTCTGCAGGCAGGGGAGGAGGAGGTTTTTCTTGAGGCGAAGCTGGCATGGCTGTTGAAGTAGCTTGTGGTTGTTGTTGTGTGCAGCTGGTGAGGTTTACCGAAGCCGACGTCTCGACCACGGACGACGAAACTGTGATATTCTGACTGTCAATCTGAACCGTCACGTCTCTTATTGCCATCATCAGCTTGCTCGCGCTTCTCGACAGCTCGCTCGGATTGGTGGGACCTTGTGACTCGCCGCCACCACCTTCTCCTCCGCCTGTTGCATCCGTTGTAAATTGATACCCGGCTCCTTCTTGCAAAGAGCACATTGTCTTGAGGCTCCAGTTACTCAGAGCGTCATCTATAGACTTGGCCAGGGACTGGACTTGCTCTGTGAAGGAGTCTTCCAGGTCAGTCAGTGTGCCCCCCACCGTGGCGGGCAGCGACGGGGAGCGCACTAGAGGAATGCCTGCCAGGTTACAGCCTTCAGCCAGGGCGCGTTCAGCAGAGAAGCCCTCGGTGTTTGGGACTCGGACTTTGCGCATGGATATTCGCCTGGGCAGTCTGCTCTCCAGGAGGGAGTTGCGGATCTTTTCAAAGTTCTTGCTGAGCTGGTACTGGCGGAAGGCGGTCTGGATCTTGCAGGCAGCACGGCGTGAGATGAAGTGCCCGCCGTACTTCTGCTCTAACATTTCGATCTAAAAGAGAACAGCAAATAAAGGAAAACATGTTAATTAATTTATCAAGTTAAATATTATTGACAGCCTCTCACTGATGGAATGAATGACTGAGGAAGTGAATGAGCTGGAATAATTGTTTTTACAGACTTCTAAGTTTTCTATGTACATTGCAATTTTTAATAATATAAACGCACATATTTTGTGTTGTATAATCACCTAATGTGTACGAGAACAAAGGTACCAGACGAATCACAAACATGAAAAGTTATAACTGTCTGTGTATGTGTGTAATTCAATTCTTTGGCAAGAAAAACAAATAAAAAATACAAAGCTGCAACAAAACTCAATAAAGCAAAAAAGAAAAACCTTGCTGTGTCATTACATTGTAAAAATTGTTCATTTCTTCACCAAATAAAAATCATTATCTCCACATATCCCACAGAGGCGCTCTCCTCACAAATCAAAATTGTCTAAATGTGGAAAAAAGCTATTCATCTTTCTAGTGAAAAATGGCGCAAATGCTGTGGGAAATAGATAGAGATGTAATATAGCCACGTCTGGCAGCGGCTCAAACACTCAGATGAAACCTCTTTGAGTTTCCCAGAACAATCAGGATGTGGAAGTGCCCTTATCTCCCCCATACACCGCTTTGCTCATTTTGAAATCCTTTTTATTGAAGTTGAATAGATGTATGTATCCCTCTCTGCGATCTAATTTATCATAAGCTAAGAGTCTTCACATACTGTATTACAACAACCAAAAAGACAAATTGTGTTTTCGCCGCTAGAATGATCCGATGTTCCTACAGATGTTCTTTCAGACATCTTTTGAAATAGTTATTCAAAGCATTTGCTGTGTTTGAATTATATGTACTCTTTGGATTAATGGTGGCAAAACCCATACGGTATGATGTAATGCCGAAGCTAATTATCATGCAAAACACAAGACATACCAATTGTGTAACTACTTCATTAACACTGCACCGGATCAAATCTGCTCTAAATCTATCATTTCATAAGCAAACATTTTAAAGTCTTTGTGAAGGTTAGCTAACTGGGTGCGTACTCCTATCGCCGCAAAGAGGTGCTGATTGGCTGTGATGGCGTGTGGAACGTGGCAGGTTGACACGGCCTCCCTCATTGTCATTGGATACATACGCAATCACTTGCAAAGCTCTTTAGAATAGACCAATGACACTGAAAATCCATCTTATCTAAAGCATTTACATTTCACTGCAGTGCCACTGTGAGCCAAGCGGGACGGAGTGAGAATATTAAGGTGTTTTCTGAATAGGATGCACCACTGTTTGATAGGGACATCTCAGTGGATCTTGTTGCCATCCGTTCGAGAGCACCCATACTGAATATTAATCATGGTCCCCTTCACTGCTGTTAGAAGTGGCTTGACTTATGACATTAATGTTTAAAGAGGGCTGCAGAGGTTGGTGTCTCTTCTCCAAACGTCTGTCAAGGACTTAGGCAGCAGGTGACCTTTAGATTGAGAAAGTCTGCAATGTGCTGAGTTTGATGGGGTGCGACAGCTTCTTATTACATAAACCACATGTGTTTCCTAATATTTGGATTTTCCACATTCATCATTTTTGATAAGCAAGAAGTTGATGGTTCAATGCAGAAGGATTTTATAATGGAACTCCGGCCGGGTTTATTTAATAAAGTATTAAGGCTGTATTTAATGATTATTTTAGGAAAAGGTCAGTGAATATAAGATGTTTTAAATTAAATTCAACCTAAGAAAATCCAGAGGGATGCCACACACAGACAACTTCATAGAGCTGTAAAACGAATTGGTTGTTTGTAAGTTACTTTTTTGACACCTTTTTGATTATATGATTGCAAATGATTAAATTAGTTAATTAAAAACAGCCTCCAGAGTGGAACAGAATAGATACGCTGTGTGGCGGGAGGCTTTTTCACAGCCGTATGAAGAAAAAGGTGTGAATTCTCTGTTTGGAATGACCTTAGCACTTCCTGTCACGTTCATTTGGGCATGCGCAGTAGCTGAGAACAAACGTAAACAGCAATGGCGGTCAAGTAATGCTACATGGAGGAGACCCACGCAAAGCTGTAGTTTCCGTTTCCATTTTCGCAGCTGCTGTTAAATGCAGAATGATGTTGGTGCATTATTTCCTGTCTTTGCGGTGGCCCGAAGAGGATGTTATTGAGGAAGTGACTATACTGGTGGGGGTCGCGCACGTCGTGTTGCAAAGTTCCACTGCCCCCAACTGGCCAAGCGCTAGCACTACATCGTTTTCCATCGTTGTGTAGACGCTGTGCACTTCGAATAAGGAGCCTTGTCGTTTTTGCTAATTGCTTTGCAGCGTCTCCTCAGCGTCTTAGTCTAAAAGGGGCCTATGTATAGTGTGTGTTTGATGAAAAGACAACGTGACTTACATTTTTTTAATAATTTCAAGCATTAATAAAGAACATAAAGATGTGTAGGAGTTCTGCATTGAGTCAAATTCAGTGAAAACTTACAAGGGCTGGGATTTCATGTAGAAGAAGAACAAGGGCGTAGAGACGTAGGCTTCACCAGACTGTGATATGTAGTGTGCTGTTCAAAATAAATCGAGCACATACAGCAGCAAAATTGTTCAGTGTTCATAATCTGTGCTAAATCTGACGAATGTTGTGCATGTCTTCGATTTGTTCATACAGTGTGTACTTTGTAAAGTTTCATAAATTAGGATTGAGCTCTGTTCTTTCTTGAAAATGTTTTTTTTAGGGATTTGCAGAACTCGATGCACCTGATCTAAGGAAAGGATTTGGGGAAGTCTGCAGGAGTCTTTTCTCAGACTGAGCCGGTTTCCAAATTAATCTGAATAAAATGGATGGATGTTTAAGCTCGGGGGAAAAAAAGCAGTAAAGCAAAAGTCAAAGTCGTGAAAAAATACTTTCCAAAGGCAGGCTGGGACAAAATGCAGGAGGGTGAAGAACAAGTCCAGGGCGGAAATGGTGCGAGTGAATCCCTGTTATCCGTTTGTCACCGCTGCCTGTGATCACTTCACTAAGCGCTGATGGAGAGAGATGACTCAGGGAGAGCCGCAGTGACACCGCTCCTCTATCAGGGTCTTCAAATCAATTGCGATGGACAAACCAGCACAGGAGAAACCTCATGTATGGGGTCAAACAAACCTCAGGTGATGAAAAAACAAAGGAAATACTGAATGTAATGGAAGATGAACAAAATATGGATGATCAGTGTCTAATCCCTGGTTTAAATCAGCTTTTGTTTATTACAGTGAACTTGCAATGTCATGGTTGAGATAATAAGCTCTTAATAGAACATTTGATTGTGACAACTTGAGGACGACTTCCACCCCACAAGCAAGCACACTGTTGCTATTCCCTGAAGAAGTATTTGCGTATGGATACAAACAATCACATTTTTCTTGTCATCCCTAATGAGCAGTTTGTGGGTCTCCATTTCTAAATGTGCCCATTATGCAATCTCACAGGGTGCAAAATCGGAGGGCGAAAATTTGAATCTGCAATTATTAGTTTGTATATGTGCCGCGTTCGGAGCACAGAAAAATCAGCATGATTAATAAGGCGATTATATAAGAGCAAAACTGGGACACAACTAATGCTGACTGGATTACAAAATGAAGACGATAAGGCTTGACGTCATTGCAAGATTTTAACAGTCTCACATATTATTATCTGGGCTTGCAGTTGTTTTTTTGCAGATTATGAGTTTTTTTTGAGGAACCTTCCAGTGGCAATCCATCAAGACAATTATTATTACTTTTCTATTAAAGGTTCAAAATAATATATAGTTTTCCCGTTTGAGCATCTAGTATCATCAATATCAAGTATTTATCATGATAAATATATTCAAAGCAGTCCCCCCTTAAAGAATAAGCATCATCAGTAAGATTTGATGGAGGGGAATAGTTAGACCCATGGGTTTAGGCCTTAGCTGTCTATCAAGATGCTGTCGCCTGCATTCAAAAGATGTCTCTCCATCTTCACAGTTTTGAAAGTAAATGAACTTCACTGTAATTATGACAGCAAAATATATTTCAGTTTCAAAAATTTCCCCTCATAGTGGTGAACTGAAATAAATATTTAATAACTTTGTGATACATTTTAACAGATAGACATACGTACAATTTGCTCACATACTTTGGCGGTAATTATGACTATTTTTCATAGTAACCACTTAATCATTAGTCTGAAAGAAAGGTTTGCAGACACCAAGGACTTAGCCCTCTAGCCTTTCCCTTAATGACTTTCTGTTAACTTGCAAATGAAGTTTAAATAGGTGAGGCTTAGCACTGTTCAGAGTTCACACAGCTCTGGCGAGGGGATATTTTAAAGAGCCAGGACTTTAAGTGGAAACCATAATGCAAATTCAAAAGTTTTAGCACTAAAATATAGCTTAGTTTTTAAGATAGTGCCATCTGGGAAATACTGCCAGCTAGTTTACTTATGAAAAATGATAAAACGCCTGCTTGGATTTATTAATTTTGGATAGGGATGCATGAAAAATATAGCTCCAGGATATTCCTCTTGTACATGGATAATAACGACACAAGCTGTTTTCAACCAAAGCTTTGAAGTCAACTTAAAAAATTGGTTTATTGGTTGTGTTGTGTGCATAATTAGCTATGCTTTGTTGGAATTCGCGAAACAATAACACGTCAGGGAGTAGGAGGCTTGAAGGCAGTTAACATTCCTCCACCACAAATCATGGTACTGTGCATAGGGTCCAATTACTTTGACATTGATCCTTGGTTCCACCTCCACACCACGATGACATCTGATCAATCGCACTGATCAACTATCTCAAGGCCTGTCGACGGCCACATAAATGAGATAGCTTTTTCAATCCTAGACCAAGAGACTGGAAATATTGTCACGGAGGAGTGCAAAGCTAAAGACTTCTAAGAGAAAGTGATAAATTAGGAGATGAAGTCAAAACTGAGAAAAAATGAGCGAAGCGGTGAGGAGAAGAACTTAAAAAGAAACAATCTCAGCAAAATATGGCCTCAATTTCTCAGGTGCGCATTGCTTTAGTGCGCTATTCTTTTATTAGATTTAACCAAATGTAACAGTGTGTATTGAGGACAGGCAGAAGCGAGCTGCTTTACCTGAGCGTTGGTCCGCACAGGAGTGGAGGGTGTTGGTGGTTAGGTGAATGGGCGATGGAAATGGAATGGAGATGGGTCTTGGTGTGATGTGATTATTAATGGATGGCACATGAAGACCTGATGAACAGCAGTAGGGGAGGAAAAAAAGAATGCCATTTCAGAGATTTAGTCAGACACACAGCCTTTGCAAACGTACAGTCACAAACATCTGTATATGACAACAACGTGTGAATCCGTCACCTAAGAAAGACCTAGAACTAAAGTTAAATCTTTGTGAAATCAGGTGTAAATGTTGCCAATATTGAGGAGTTCTTCACAGCAATGGGTAATGATTGATAAAGCCATGGTAACGCGCATGGTGGTTGTGATAATGATTATGACAAGGAAGCTCATTTCATTTAGATTTGCAGGTTAAATCCAAAAGACATAGATATTTCCATTGCTTCTCTCCCCAACATAAACTCAGTCACAAATCTATCAAACCACAAAACTGTTCACTACCAACACGCACATCCACTCCACACCCCTCCGCTTTAATAGCCCACCCCTCAAACCACTCGACACCAACACCCTACCTGCTTATTTTTGAGGTCAAGTGAGAGCTCATAGTCGGAGGTTTTGGGATGCGCTCCGGCCCCGTTTCGCTGTACCCTGAGAGGCGACGCCGTGTGGTGCAGGCTGGCTCTCCTCCCCGCCATCCCACCTTTCCCTCCACCTGCTTCATCATCAACCTCCTCTTCAACCGGTTTGGGTTCCTCTTGCTTCGTCACAACCTCTGCAACCTCTTCCACCACTTCTTCTACCACTCCTTCAGTTTTTTTGTCTTCTTCAGCAGGCGCGGGCTCCTGCACAGGCTCTTGCGGCAATTCTTGCGGCGGTTCTATCGGGCTTGGGATCTGAACTTGCGGGACAGATTCTAGTTCGGGTTCGGGCTCAGATTCAGGCTCTTCGGGGGTGGGAGGAGGTGTTGGGTGTGGCTCTGGTGGGGGCTTTGGTTCTTCTTGGGTTTGTGGTTGGATCTCTGCTTTGCTCTGCTGCGCTGGCGGAGTTGGTGTGTCTTCTTGCGGCGAGACTTCTGGTTGGGGAGGTTCTGGTTGAATTTCTGCCTGGAGATCAACCTTCTGCCCCTCGCCTTCGCCTCCCTTGCCCTCCTCCCCACCAGATGGCGCTGGAGATTGGTCATCGCTGCAGAAAGGAGGAGAAAACTCAGAGTCAGGGTGCTGCTGCGTCCGTGTTGAGCTCTGATCTCGGCTTGGCGGTGTCTGGGTTCACCTGTGTTTGTGTGTGACCATGTCCTACCATGTGCGGCTATCCCTAAGCTACAAACCGACAAAGCATTGTGCGTGACAGAAGCTGGACACAAACATAATACTCATCCAAAAAACGTAAAGAAAAAATGAGGATAAATAGAAGGCACATCCAACACACAAACGCGGGGCACAAGGACTTTCATGCATTCAGTGTTGCTCATAAATGTTCAAGATGTGGATGTTTATTGTTGAAATTAGAGGCTGAAGAAGTAGCTTCACTTTTGACATGAGTAAATAATTTTTCTTGCTCTTTGTACCACTGTGTGTTATTTAAAATGATATATGGTTAAATATGGCCCGTGTAAGAATGTTTTTCATTGTAAATTACAAAGTAGATGTTTGCTGTACCTAAAAGGGCCTGTCCTGTACCCATTTATTTTCCCTAAAATAATTGGGAATATTCTTTTCTCTTCATCTTGCACTTTTTTTCAATTCCCATTCAAATAATCACATTGCCAACACCAGAAACTGAACACTTGTAAGGCTATAATAGATTAAAAAACTAAATCATATTTTTAAATAAATTACTAGGATAAATATTGCTTGAGCCAAATGAAAAAACAGTGAGGCCCATAATTGACCAACGGTTTTGGATTTGTTGTCCTCTGCTGTAGCGCCTTTATAGTTGTGCAATCAGTTAAGAGAAAAATAGAATGCCACATCAATAATGCAAATCATTGTTAGCTATTTATTTATTGCTGTCAAATTAATGAAAACTACATAGATGTTTAGATGATTGCTTTTGTCCATTTGGAAAAAAAGTTATTAATATAGAACTGTGAGCTGCAAAGACGCGTATTAGCTGTATGAAAAGTGTATAAGTGTCAGTTATAAGCTATAGCGCTTGAAAAATAAGCAAAACTCAAAGATTTTCATAAATGTGTTTATTTCCCTACCTCCATGGCGTTTTAAAGGGCACACAGTACATCAGAAGAAACCCAGCATCCGCTATGCCTTTCTGCACACTAGTCTCATATTCATTTCACTTGGCGGAGCTTAGGATGGGGGAAAGTTACTTAACAACTCTTGCTTTTAGAATAGAGCTTCTATAAGTGATGAATAATATATAAAGAGAAATAGACTGATCCAATATACCCGGCCTCAACTCCAGGTGCAGGCTTTCTTGCACGAAAATAGATATGGCTGTGAAAAAAAAAAAAAAACTCCTTTGGTATAGAGCAGAAACAGCCTCACCCTCCATAGCGCTATTGTTCTGAATCCAAATGTAGACTTTTTCTATCTTTAACATTGAGGCTGGTAAACTGACGCCCTGTAATCTGTACAAGGCTTTAGGTGTGATGAAGGAGAAAGTTCCAGTCGCAGCAGGGAAGGTGTTGAGAAGGATTATTCATGAGATGCACAGCTGTCCCTGATAACATACAGTAATGCGTCTTGGTGTCCTGCATGTGCGAAACAGCTCCAGACCCTTTGTAAACAACCCGCCTTTGAGCCGTCCCGGGAATCTGCTATATATGGTAGTGCTTGTTGTTGTAGTTTTCTGTTGGTTGAATCAGCAAATTTGTGAAGCCATGCAATACTTGGGATTTTGGGCTCTATAGCAGGCATGTCCAAACTCAGGCCTGGGAGCCAATTGCGGTTCTCAGTGTTAATTTATGTGGTCCTCTGCCTTGATAACCCAAATTAGTCTTTGAGATCACAAACATAAGTTCACTATGTCATCCATCCAACTTCAGCTTAGCCAATACAGACTTGTCCTACCTCATTCTAAAGCCCAGAACGTCTGGAATTCAGTTGTTGACTTTATTTGCACATTCTATCTATACCGACGTGGTTTTTGATTGTGTCACAAACTTTCGTTATTGGTGCTAATGTAGCTGGTGAGATGGTAAACATTAGTCATGCAGCCAACTTCAGCTCTGTTATAGATCATTTTAAATCTCAGAACAGCCCGAAGCCAGTCAAGACAGTTTTTTAGTCCGTGATGTCGGCCCCTGGACTAGTCTGGTGAACTAAAATGGCCCTCTTACTGAAATGCTTGGACACCCTGGCTTTATAGAAAAACAAGGTTGAACTGACACCATATTTAGTGCAGTCATATTATGCTTTCATTCAGTTAAAATGTAATTTTTTTTATGACAATACAGTGGTCGGTTTACCTTTTTGTGTGCGCAATCTTTCATGCTTTTTTCCAGCATGCTCTTCCTGCATAGCGTGTGAATTCCAAAAACATCATATACAACATAAAATAGCTGTTTGTATATCTGATAAAATGACAGTTACCTTTAATTAAAGTCTGCTGTGATTAGTTTAGACGACTACCGCGGTTTTCCCGTAGCGCAGTGTCCTCTGCTGCTGTATTTCATTAGTGTATGCACGGCTTTTGACAGCTGCAGCAGCGCTCAGACCTGACCACATTGATACTGACCAGTTTGATATCCCCCCGATCGCACATCAGCAGCCGTGAGTTCAGGTGGTTAGAAAAGTGTTTAAAATATGTGGTGAGGGGTTTTACAGCCTTAAAATGAAGCTTTTACAATATTAATGTAGCTCATTATATATACTTTTTTTTAATGTAATCCCCATGAAAAACTGTATTACTGATTTTAAATGTAACACTACATTGAGTTACAAAAGTGTCTATGTTTCCTCATATAATTGCAAACGATGAGAAAACAAAGCAAATTTTCACTTGTAAGTAAGTAAGAAGTTATTTATGTAGTGCATTTCACAGACCAAGGTCACCCAAAGTACTTATGGATTGGAACTAGAGTGTACAATTTTTCCTTTTGTAATGAGCTACACTACTGAGTTATTCAATTCCGTTATTTTATAGCCGTAAATCACAACAGCAGTCATTTCGGGGGACTTTGCCAATTTTTCACACCACCAACAAGAGAATCAAACACTAGGGACACAGAAAATGCATTACTAACATTACTGTAATGTATTACTCCCATCACTGCTTCCGTTACATTTAGACTTTTGGTCTATAAAATGCATGATAACTGTCTGATTTTGGACCTGACTTAACTGTAGGTTTATTCTGCTGTTTTTGTCCATGCTGTAAGACATTGCCAAAATTCAATTCTCATGATGTTGCTTTTACTCAATACCCTCAGATATTAGAGTTGTATTCTTTCATCTATATTTCATGTATCTCACATGTTTCCAGAAACAATAACAGAGGTGTTCCACTCTCTGTTTGCCCTGAACATGCATGTGTACACCAACACTCGCTCCCGGCAAAACAAGAGCAGTGGTGATTTAGTTAGACTAATAGTCAATATATTAAAACCTGCAAAGAAATACATTTTTGAATAACATTGTGATTTGTAATTTGTATTTTCCAAATTACAAAAAAAAAAAGAAGTAATTTCTTGATTTTATTTTGTTAAATTGTGTTCCAAAATGTAAAATCGGAAACAAATTGTTTCCTTGTTTTCCCATTTCAAGATGAAAATCTAATTGCAGCAAACTATACAGATCTTTAACCATGTTGTGGGGATTTTCCCTCTCACACACTTGCGTTGCATTCACACACACATTCATACGTGTTTGTTCAATTGTTACTCTATTGTGGTGCATATATTGTATCCCATACTGTGAATCAGGACTTTACAGTGTTGTGTCGGGGTTAATCCACAAACTACACCACTTGGCCATAAGCATAAAGCATTTTTTACTGTCCAGGTTTAACATCTAATTTTACTCATGCTTTTCTAAAAAGTCAAACATCACACCTCAAAAAGTGAAATGATGCAACAATGCCATAAATTATATCAGACAAAAGCATATGCCTTGTTTCATGGAAACTATCTCGGGAGAGCCTTGTGTCCTCCCGTGCACCTTCTGTTTGACGCCCACATGCTTTATCATCTTTTAAAATGCTATTTTTATGAGAGGGTGGTAGGGAAATTGTGCAAGTCCTGCTGCTATTGTGTTTACCTCCGGCACCGAACATATGTTGCACTGTGCACTGGGCAAAGCCTGGCATCTGTAAGGGATGTGAGAGTAAACAGACTGTGGTACCACTGCTGCTGTGATGACGTTCATTAACCTTGGTGGAAAAGCTCACACTGCGTCATCAGCGCGCGCACGAGGTGAGATGAAATGTATTGGACCTCGTGACAAGTGAGTTCAAGGGTCCGTCCTCTGGTGGAGTGGAGCCAGAAATCTGCTGAGGAGGGCATTACAAGCAGCGTTTGCATCAGCATAAGCCGGCACAAATGAGCTCCCAGATGAAGACTGTGCCTGCTGCTGCATGGACTACTGCTACCAATTGTCTCCTCTTTAAAGAATAAACACACCTAATCACAAAAGTTTTTTTTTATCATAACTTTATATTGTAATATAGGGAACAAAATATGATTATTCTGACATTTCTGTTTACCGGGCATCCTGATCTGTGAGGATTTGTGAAAGAATCACTTCATCAAGTGGAGTACAAGGACAGACTGAGAGCACACATGTCTGCATACATAAGCATGTCCCTTCTGTGTAAAGGATACAGTCAGGGGTAAATATGGCATACAAATTCATCTGTGTACAGGAAAAAATGTATGTTTCCCTCTAAAACTGATTTAGTGGGAAAAATTTGATGATTTAAATATTTAATTGCACATATACAAGTAATGTATGTGATAAAATGATTATCTGTAAAATGTTTCTAAAAGAGTTAAACATCAAAAGCCAGGATTCAACCCAATGATGAGACTCTCTTGCATGGTTCCTAAATAATTGTTATGTTGTGTAGATATGAACTGCACTATAACCTGACTTTCTGCTGTGAGCAGTTGGTGTGGAACAGTTTTGTGGCAGATCCAAAAATGACAGTGAGGTAGTGAAATGTTCAGCATCGGAAATAAGGGAGGAGAGTCAAGGTGACAGAAGCCCAGACAAAACCCAAATGTGACC